TACGTACGTACGTTCTTCTTCTTCTTCTCTCTCTCTCTCTCTCTCTCTCTCTCTCTCTCTCTCTCTCTCTCTCTCTCTCTCTCTCTTTCTTTCTCTCTCTTTCTCTCTCCCTCCCTGACTTGTGGCTTTTCTATAGCTTTGATTTCTTGCGCCGATGATGGGTGGTCGAAACGGTGGGAGCGTGGCAAAAAGAGGCGTGCTCAGTGTTATTAGTATTTTTTTATCCTTCCTAATTCCCACAAAATGAGATACTCGTAATTGCTTCAATACCGCAACGCCGGCAGTATCAACCTTCCTATCTGGGCAAGTGGGCCTCAAACCCACGAAAGTTGGTCTTCTCACGTGATTCAACCGCATCTCCCGAAAAAGTTTCTTACCCTCGATTCGCGTGCAGTTCTCTTTCTTTTTGCTTCGTCAACATTCACCTCTACTTGCTTCACCCTCCCCCTCCCTCCCCCCCTCCCGGTCAATTGGACCTCCCTTGTCTCATTTCCGCATTCATTGACCTCATCTTACCTACTTCTTCTCCTCTGGTCCTCTTTCATCCCCTTGTCTCATTGTCTAGCACAAATACACACCAAGATGGCTCAACGAATACCGAACCACCTGGTCTCTAACTCCCTTCTCCCCTACCTCTCCTCGTCCCCCTCCACCTCTCTCTTCAGACTCACTACCGCATACACATCTTCTTCCCTCACAAATGCCTCGCGGCCCGCTTCCCGCTCCTTTTCTACCACAAGACCTTCACAAACCAAGCTTCGCAGAGAAATGATCAGATGGCTTCGCGGGAAAGGGTCCGAACTACAACATCACATTCCTGGCGAAACCAACTACCTCACACATACTAACAAGCCTTTTCCCGGAAACCCTCTCTACCGCAGCGACCCCATACTTAGCGAGGACCTGCGCAACGAGATTCATCATCAGGTGACCGTTCAGAACAAGAGCGTGCGGGCTGTGAGTGTCCAGTATGGCGTGGATATGAGGAGAGTAGCTGCGGTGGTTCGACTGGTCGAGCTGGAGAATCAAATGAAAGAACAAGTATGGCTTGCCCCCTGCTCTTCCCTTCTACACTTGCTCCCGCCTCCCCTTTAAAACGCCTTTCGGATGCAATGATGAGACAATTATAAAATCGATTAGTCTTTATGACCCAGTCTCTGGGCATGATTACAACGCCTTTAAATCTGACATGCATCAAATACCCCTGCTCCTGGAGTTAATTTTGTCGACGCTGTCTCTTTTCTCTCCTAGCAAAGCTAACGCGTTGTTCACCAGGGCAAATCCCTTGCACTCCCCTACGCGCGTGCCATTCATGAAATGGTTCCCGTCACCCACCTCCCGGAACCTGAGGAAAAACGGAAGTCACACGAAACCATTAATGATCTGCCGGTTCACCGCTTAACCGACCCTCAAATCTTCTACCCTGTCTCCGAGTCTCGGCAATTCAACCGGATTGACGCTGGCCGCGTGTTCTCTGCTGCCCCTGCTATGATCAACAAGCATGCCAAACGGCTTGAAGCCAATCCCGACGAGACTATCCGCAGGATCACTCAGGAGAGTCCTGCCAATATTGAGAAGGTCGGCAAGGGTGACGAAGAGCACCAGGTCCTTTTGCCTGCGGACGCTCGTATCCCTCACCCTCACATGATCACTCATGAGCGCAATCGCTTGACCATCGGTAAAACTGAGCCCGCCGAGGTCCGTCAGAAGTACCGGGAGCGTCTCGAACAGGAGACCCAGGTAGAGCTGCAGCGCAAGGAACGAGCCCAGCAGCGCCTGGAGATGATAACCCAGAAGGTCCAGCCCGAGAACTCCCGGTTCGAGTTCCGCTTCACAGATGTGGTCGTCAGCCGGGAAACCACAGGTCTCACTGGCCGGGGTCACAAGGCTCCTGGTCGCCGCTATGGTGTTCCCAGCTATGATCGGAAGAAGGGCCAGGCCAAGATCCCCTCTCGCGTGGAGGTCTAACCCCCTTCTCGATCCTTCTCTTTCTCCCTCTCTCTTTTCTACTTTTCGCGAGGTTCTTCTCACCTCAGTGAGGTCTTCGAGAACGAACATTGTATGGATGTTATCGGTATGCCAATGATGGGTCTGGGTTGCTTTCCCCTGCTGAACTGTATTATACGGGCGTGTAATTCCTCTATTCTTGTGGTCCTTCTAGCTTTGCTTATGTGTGTGCCGGTTCCTTGGTTTTCTTTTCTCCGCCCCAGGATGGGATGGATCTATTTTAACAGATTCCCCTTCAGCCGGAGTATTGTATTTATACACTTCTCTTTTTACCTTTCTTTCAGATCCTCTGGCCACTACCTACCTATCTATTCACCAGTGCAGAGGACCTTCATCCCAGGTTCTCATGCTAGAGATACAACCAACCAATCAACATAACAACAACATGATTATAAATCTAGAGTTGAAACGTCCTATGATCATTCCTTTTTTTTACTATTGTTTTCTTCGTAGAGAACTTATGACAGCTGTCTATGAAGCTATATTCGTCTCGGATTGAGCCACACAAGTTGGGCAGAGGGCCTACTTCACCCGAGACAAATCCAATCTCCCCCTAACTTCTCAACCCCATACACAAACTCAGCACAGAAAACCGAACAAGATTCAAGAATTATATGAAGGTTATATATTTGTGTATGTATATGACAATTGTACTGTACTGTGTAGTTGTACTGCACCCTAGTGGATGACGAGAGAAGAAAAGGAGGGGCGGTGGGGGACAAGAAAATGTGGAAGCAGAGAGACATAGGTTTCCACAAGAAAATGAAAAAGCTTTCTCCATTCGTGTGCGGGAGAATAGTCGTTCCTGTCGCATGCTTGATTCATCAGAATTGACAAGGGCAGTCTGACGTGCAGTATGCAATAGAACGGGCTGTTCTCCGGAGAGACTTCAAAAAAATTCCAAGACAAGATGAAAAGGTGAAAGGGAAGTAAGCGGGGACGCCCCGGTCCAGACATACATAAGGAAAAGAAAATAAGAATGGGAGACCAGACCAAAAAGAGAAGGAGCATTTGAGATAGCCAGATGAACGTGATACTGATTAAGCAAGCAAGCAAGCAGGCCAAGACTAGAACTGAAAAAAAAAAAAAAAAAAAAAAAAAATCATCGAGCTGAGCAATAAAGGGCTATGCTGGGTATCCATGGGAAGAGACACACAAAGTCGCGGGGAAACTAACAGGCCACCGGATGGGGGGCTGCGGGGGCGGAGACAACGAAGTTAGCAGGCAGCAGATTGCAGTGAAGCGAAATAAACACCATATGCACACCAGCTGTTTGCGCCAGGGGCTGGCGTGAGGGAAGACAAAGAGTTAAAGGTGAGTGGGTGGGTGCGTTTGTTTGAGAGGAGGATGTTGCGGGAAATGGAGGAGAGTTCCTTTAACGAATATTCAAAGTGCGTCTGCATCAGCTGGGATACCTGGGACTGGGACAGATGTCACCGGGCTGCTTGGCGAATCCAGTCCCTCTCCGCTCCCACTTCCGGAAGAATCCTCCGGGGTCACATCAATGAGTTGGGGCAGATGGAGGGCCTTGCGCTCCTTCTTGCCATTCTGGCTGAGCACCGAAGACGGCGAGGGAGTGATACTCGGGGACGGTTTCTTCGAGGCTGTCTCGGGTCCGGTCTGCATGGGGCTTGTATGACCTTCCGCCGTTGGGAAGTAGCAGGTATCATTGGCGTAGCCACGCCACTTGCGCCAGCCCTCGAAGTCGATCAGAGCTTGCATGCATCCCCATTCCGTGACCTTCTGCTGCAACCATTCAAACCGCACAGGCTGTGAAGAGATAGCTATAAGTAAAGGGTTAAGTCATAAGAAGTTAAACAACATACCTTGGTCAAGAAGTCATTGCAGCCAGCCGCCAGGGCTTCATGACGATCACTCTGCAAGCTGCTCGCCGTCAACGCCACGATAATGACCGGGCTTTTGAATAGAGACAAGTCATGTAACGTGTCTTCTTCATTCAGGGGATCACTGTTGCCTGTAATAGCTAGCGGTGAGGTCACACTAGCCGTGGCCGCACTAGCCCGTCCATCGGCGGTCTTGGGGAACACGCCAATGCCGTTCAGCCGCTCCAGTCGCCGAATCTCCTTCGTTGCATCTAATCCATTCATGACGGGCAATTGAATATCCATCAAGACCAAGTGGAAACCGCCCTGTCGCCATTTCTTCACAGCCTCTGCGCCGTTTGCAGCGCACTTCCAACGCACACTCAGACGCTTCATGAACGCTTCCAAAAGCCTTTGATTGATGTTGTTGTCCTCAACGATCAACACGTTGATCGGTGGCACCGTGCCCTCAATGAGACCACCAAAGGCGCCACTCAATGACTGCGTCGCACTCGGTTTCTTTGGCTTGGCGGACGACGCAGACGGACGGGGCCGCGGAGAAGCTCCACGTGCAGGAGGTGTAAGCGACTTGGCCTGGGGCGACTCCGGGGGAGGACCGGGCGGAGTGGGAATGGAAGGCACCGGCTGGGACGATAGAGGTCCTGGGACACCGTTGGGGTCTAGCAGAAACGTAAGCGGGCGTGTCGTGGGAGAGAGGCAAAGCCTAAGATGGTGATGTGTTCAAGAGGGCACAAACCTTTCGGGGCCGTCACCTGGCCTAGCATCGTAGGAGAGTTTGTAGTATGGCGAGTAAGTGGTGGCCGACGCGGGTGTCGATTCCCTCGGCTTCCCGGCGAAGGCAGTGGCGGGGCCATACCTGTGGTGAGGATTGATATTGACGGGGCGGGATGAGCGTTGACACTGGCAGAGGAGTTGTTTGGATGTGATGGCGGTGTGGGAACAGTGGGATTTGCTGGCATGAGAGGGAAGTAGTCGCCATGCTCGCCGGGCTCGGACTGGTTATAGTAGACTTGAGGGCGCGGGGACGGTTTGGGTGTGCGTCTCTGAGGTATGTCGATAATAAGAGCCTCCTCAATGACTTGCCCTCCGGGATAGTAGGTGTCCACCACGTTCATCAATGACTCCTCTGGGCTCAGGATCCGATCGGGGGTCGTTTGTCGATTGGAGCCCTCTCGGGGTGAGATCCGGATGACGATATCGGGCGCATCGAAAGTCTTGCCCAGGGAGTTGGCATACTTGTTGATCACCTGGTCTCGCAGCTCGTCCACCACGAAGTCATCCGTGGTGGGGACCAGAGTGGCCGACCCACCTGGCCGCTTGACCCAGATCTTGCGAACCATGCCTGTGCCGTACGTATTGAAGCGACCGTTGTCAAATCCGTCAGGTTCACCCGTGGGTCCCGAATCCAGCAGGCTGTTAATCAGATGTTGGTGCGACGGCGCAAGCAGTGACTGACGGCGAGAACCAAGACTTGGACGCTTCGGGAACGGTGCGGGTGTCGTTGAAGTTACGACCTGGTAGGTTGTGGATTCTCCGGACGGATTTTCCGCAACTGCATCTAAGACGGGTAATTGAGGTTCAACGGCCGCAGACCCCAGGCGTTCCAGGCCCAGATTGTTGAAAGCAAGCTGGAAAGACGGGGCGTTGGCGCGACCGGCACTTGGAGGAGGAGGGGTTGGTATCGGCGAGGGTAGGCGATCGGGGGCGAGACTCGTTGTTGGTGGGGGGTGACCGTGCTCAGAACACAAGCTTGAGTTGGGACGTTTGCTGGATGATGAGGTGCGAGCGACAGGCTTGCGCTGCAGCGGGAGTCGGGGTGCACTGGAAGATGCAGCGCCCGTTTGCTGGATGGCCGACGGTCGATTCTCTTCGCGCTGCTCTTCGACCGTATCTTCTGGTCGGGGCTTTGCGGATGGAGTGTCGTCGAGAGGACCGTCGAGAGGACCGTCGAGCTGTCCTCGGCTGGAGGTCGGGACCGGTGAGCGGGAAATGTCGCCCACAGCGGCAGAAGCTAAGGAATCACCGTGCTCCGAAGCAACCGGGTGGCTGGGAGGACGGCCGTCGTCGGGAGAAGGTCGAGACAGATTCTGGCAGGAGTGTGCGCGGCGGGCTGTTTGGTGATCGGCGGACGGAGAAACGTTAACCGATGGGTCCTGCAGCTGTCCGTTGTCGGTGACGGAAGTGACGGGGTTGTCACGATGGCGGAAATCGTGGGGGAGAGATGATGGAGTCGGAGGACTACCGTTGCCGTGGTTGTGGTCGTGGTCGTGGTCGTGGTCGTGGGAATGAGGGGGAAGGGGATCGTGGTGGGAGAAGCTGGAGCTGAAGTTGCAGTCGTCGCTGGACCCAGCAGATCCATCATCGGCGCTGGCGGTGGTAGTCAGAGCGGTGGTGGCGGCGGCCGGAACGGAGGATGTCGACGATCGCCGCCAGAGCTTCGCCTTCAATCGAAGCCACCGACGGTCAGGCATGACGCGTTGGAGCAATAGCTGCAGAGAGTTGTAAAGGAGTGACAAGACATAGGATGGTAAAGAAGAAATTTTGAAGGTTTCCTCTAATTGACTCCGTACAAGGCGTAGAAGGTGCCCGACGCCGTTAGAGGAGGGCCAGGCACAACAAATCTTCGGCCGGGAAGGAAAAGGGAATTTAAGAGTAGAAAAGGAAGCAATCAGAAGAAAAGAACCCAGCTCCGATAAAAGATCGATGATCTGAAACACCCACGCTAGAGCCCAGGAAAAAAGCAAATAAAAGAATGAATGTACAGCTGATGTGGTTGAATGAAGGAACAGACCCTGAAAGGTCACCGCGTCCCCTGCCGGTTCAGTTGGCATACAAGCATCAATGAGGGCGAGGAGTTACAAGGCACAGAAGTGAAGCCACTCGTCATGACTTAAGGACAGAGAGAAATGGAACAGAGAGAAACTTGAACGTAATCATGAAGTAAAGAAAAAGAAAAAGAGAAATAGGAGTAGCAGAAGCTGTCTGCCAATGACCAGTCAATGAGGCACGACAGATTGCCGCTCTAGTCGATTATCGGATTAGCCTGCGATCTCTGCTGGCAAAAAAGAGAAAAAAAGATAAGCAAAAGTGGCACGATCAACGAAGTGGCAAACAGAATAACAGCCTCAAGAATAAAATTTCAAAAGGTTTTAACATTGAGAGGCTGTGACTTTGGAGATGTCATGTTTGTGGTTGTGTTTGGAGAGAGAGGGGGAAGCGGAAGGGGAGGGGAGGATGGAGAGAGGGGAAGAAGAAGAAGGAAAGTGAAGCAAATGTCAAAGTCAAGACCCAATGTCAGGATGTCATGATTAGGGGGATATAGCCTACCAGTCAATTTGAAATAGATTATTATGACCGTTGCAGGAACAATCGGATCGAGGGAAATAATGTTGTTATTAAAAATAAAAAACCAATTTCCTCACCACGCTTGGGCCCGACAGAGCGCCGGGCTTCGAACGGTTTAATAAGGATGTGAGAATGAGGGAGTGACCGTCGGTCTCATGCACGCTGTGTTGGCATTGCCTTCCAATTCATCGATCGGTCTGTCAATACATTTACATGCATGCACTTGCAGACAGACATCTGCATCGCTTTCTTACCGGCCGAAACTCTCGATCGTTCATCCGAGCCTTTTTGCTTCTACACCGAAGGCAGTCAGTCGCAGAACTACTTTTCTACGAGTTCAACTGGACCATGTATAGGTTCTTTCTTGTATCAGTCATTGTTCAATACTATGAGAGAATTCGGGCATTGAATAGATATCCGAATCCCTCCCTCCCCACAACACAATCATATATCTTTCTCTTCCTTCCTCAAAGTCCCAGTGAAAAATAATATCATCCCGCAATATATATGCTTCTTGGATTCATCAACAGGGAACCACATCTCAACCACTCCCACTCTCTCGACTCTCCGCCGTGCCACCAACAGGACCCTTCAAATTCTCCGGGTCAGAGGCACCCAAGCACCTCGACCGTTCTCCAAGCACCTCATCAATGCTCCTGCCCGTGGCCTTCGCCTCCCTCCGCGCGGCGCGATATCGAATCCGCCAAACAATGTGGCTCGCATAGATCCCACCTTCCAGGACGACGCTTTCCCATTTCACCCATCAAAGTCAGTAATCAGTACGCATTTTCCAACATCTCAGCCCAACTTTCCCCACAACTTACACAACAATGTACATGATCCCCCCAAGAATATCGAAGGAACCCTGCGCCGCTGCCTGAAGTCAGCCATCATTTCGAACAATCAACCATCCTCAGGGCTATAATCGCGCGCTTCCCAAAGAAAAGGAACGACCCTACCCAATGCAAAGAGGGAAAACAGTCCTCCCAAAGTGTCGATAGACAGGAAGACCCAATCTAGAAAAAACGGGGTTAGACATATCTCGCCCATGCCTGCCTCCCACCCTTCAGGGTATGTGTGAAAAGGCTCACTAAATCCGACCACGCGGCCATCTCGCTTCCAGAGCTCAAAATACGGCGGGACGAGCCCCAGTCCCAACAGGATGGCGGCCACGATGCCGACGATCAGGTCGGGCCAGGTGACTCCCTTGTTGTAGGGGATCTGTTGTTGGAATCCATTAGCGCAAGATGTCAGTTTGTTGTTGTCAAGGCCCATTCGGGGGTCCACGTGCTCTGAGCGTGAGGATCAAAAGGGCCTCTATCCCGCCAAACAGGACCGCAGCGCCGACAACCACTCCCGTAGCTGCGCGGCGACTGTATTGGCTGCAATACCAGGCCGAGTCAGACGGATTGGTTGATCAATAGATAAAGACCCGGAGCCGCTTACTGGCCGTAATACAGAACCTGACCCCAGCTCACAAGAGAGAAGAACCCGAATATCTGGGGTTGGATTTGTAGCGGGATATTCACTCCCTGCAGGATCATATAGGCTCCCATGGGGACTGCACCTGCACCGATGTCATTAGCATTTTTCTGGAACACTAGCGAGAAAAAGGGCCATAGAGGAATCCTAACGTACAAGCAGCCCAGAGAAACATCATCAACGGTGGAAGCCCATCGGTCTTCTTCTGTTTCCAATTATACCAGATTTGCGGAATCAGTTGAATGCACCAGAGCACCGTCCCAATGGTGCCCAGGACGTTCGAGGCCACCGTGACATTGCCGTCTCCAGCCATCGAGATGCCCGGCGGATGCACTGCAACCGCTGACGTAGGAGTATAAGAGACTTTTTAAAGGATCCGAAGTATAATCACAGCAGTTTGACCCGCAAAAAATGTAGGATAGATAGCAATTTAAAAAGCGGGAAACCCCTCTGCAGACAGCTTTTATACACTTGAGCCAAGCACATCATGGTCGTCATGGAATTTCCTTTTTGCTCCAGGGATGCTCCACTAATTTCGTAAACTATAGATATGACTAGCGATCCTCAACGGCTAGAGTCATGGTGAAAGGGTCAAGATAAAGTCGGACCCTGAGGAAGACTTGCCATCATCCACTGGTTCGGGGAACGAAGCCCGTCATTGGAAGAGCGGGCGATGGAGCGGCAGCGGAACTAGGACCGAATTGGTCAATGAGATGAGAAATCCCCGCCAGTATAAGTTAGTCGGATCAACTTCCATGCAAAACACATAATCAACCAGCTCCCAAACAAGGTCGACACCAAGTATAAATCGAGCCGAACGCCAGTCAACACGATAATTGCAATGGATCACGAGCTTTGCTCGTGGCTGACTCCCCATGATCGGCTGGTGGAAAACTTGTTGCTTGCAGTTGAGAACCACGGCCTATGCGGTGGTTAGAATACTACTCGAAGTCCGGCTGAGTTCGCATGAATCAGAGAATGAATAGAACAAGTACAACCCTGCAAGCCGTCAGAGCGGGCGACAAATTCTACTGATTCATCAGCCAAATAAGTAATCGTCAGTTGTGCGCCTGCCTGCCCCGAGGCGACATACAAAGAAAACCTTCCTTGAGAATATACAATGTGAAAGTTCATTGAAATGTATAAGAAACAGAGCACTGTCTTGAGAACAACATCCACATCTAGTGATATGAGCAAGGAAATACACCAGCATAGTGCCATTTGACAGACGGTTGGGCACTAGATGCTCGCTCCGAGCAATGAGAATCACATACATATAAAACAGGGAATGGGATGTGTCTTGGAAAAATGTCCAAACAATAGCAGGTAACCAAAAAAAAAACCATCAAGACATAAACATTCACAAACCGGATTCGCGCCGAGTGATACAACTCGAAGGGTATCAAAACAAAAAGATCTCTTTTTCTTCTCGCGACGGGCCAAGAAGGCGAGAATCAGACCAGGAAAGAGCAGAAAGAAAGGACGTTACACCGTGACGGACCCCATGCCGAGCTAACACGATCATATAGTCGACTGATGACACAGATGGATCACAGCAAAATCAAATAGTTGGATGGAGCAATACCGGTGTCTCCATTGGCTTTTCTAGCCTGCCACCATCTTCCACTGACGTCAGATACCTCCAGAATCTCGTGCTTGGTGAAGCTGATCTCGTTGGCGTCTTCCGGGTTGGCCTCGTAAGAGTAGATAGCCTTCGCGCGGTACGGATACTCGGTCGGTTGCGGAACTTCATCGGGAGGCACACCACTGCCGGGCGGGGCAAGATTCGTTGCTGACGGGTTGCCGAAGCGGGGCTGCGAGGTGCGGTGTTCCGACCCGGGGGCTCCACCATGATAGCCCGAGACAGGTGACGAGGTTTCGAAGCCATTGAGCTGAGCAGAAGTGTACATCTGAGGTGGCTGGCTCGACGTCGTTTCGGGTCGATTTCCGAATGCGGTGGACATAGGTCTGCTGTTGCCGTACGAACCAGCGCCTTCCTTTTGAAGGGCGAATGAATCGATAAAACCACGGTGAGAAGCCTGCGGGCTCGATCCGAAATAGAATATCCAGATAATCTATTGCCATCGTAAGTATATGATTGCGCCGAGGAGATTGCTATAAATATGTGGGAAGAAATGACGCACGATCACCATGGACAGAAGGATGAAGCCTGCACCCGCGGCTTGCGACGCTGCATTACTCGAATAAACAAGCGAGTTTACCGAGATTGTAGAGAAGACGAGACCAGCGGACAGGTAGCCCACAATCTAGAAGCAATCAGCCTGAGAGATTTCCATAAGCAGAGACCAGAGTGTCATACCGCGATGTTATAGACCACGCCTGTATCCGTTCCAAACACGAGAGCCATCCCGACAATGATGCAGAACCCATACGCCAAGGCCCACCATGAATAAGTGGGATAGCCCCCATGGATTCCAGTGATTATCGAGGAAATGAATGCGATCAACCACGCTAACTAAGCGATTGAACCCAATTAGCCGGTGTCCGCGGAAGACTGGCCTCACGGGGCTGGAATACGTACGACGGAGATGGAAGTAGTGGCAAGCGCGAACGGGTCGCCAAGAATATTGCTGGCTCTAAAGCGCACCATCTTGCGAGCGGGCTCTGGATATAGGTGTGGTTTGTGAAGCGATGGTGAGTGGGTAGAGTATGCCACCATGAATGTGGTTCAGAGTCGCAAAGAATTTATATGGGGGTCGTCGGAACGATGATTTGTTGTTCACAAGGCGATGCGATGTGGCTTATGACCTCACGTTCATTGGTGGTATGCGGAGCAGCGACGGCAGGTCCCCTTTGCTGTGATTCGTAACGAGAAAGAGAAAGTGGAATGCGAACACGCGAAATGACGATCGTAGATTGCGGCAATGAGAGCGCGGATATAGGGATGGGACTACAGCGCAGTCAGCCAGCTTGGAAGAGGACGAACGTGAGCGTCGAGAGAATCATGCAAGCCAATCGATCGGCAACGGTCGGAGGACATGTTGAGGCACGACAACAACACGAACCATCCCAGGCCAAGTCATGCAGAAAGGAAAAACGAGCAGCCGACATGAGGGTAGGTAGGAGAGTTTTAAAAAAAGATTAAAGGCAAATCACAATTTAATGAGTGCCCGGCAGGGGTGATGCATTACATACTTCTGAGACAGACCAAGTAAAATGAGGGTCGAACGATGCGGCTGGCGATCAGGATAGGGACACAATTGACACGAACAGTCTTGAAACAGGCGGAGTATTGACCCAGAGAGCGACGTGAGGAAGGGTCCTCTGAAGAGGCTGGGGTCAATGAGTCGTGGGAAGGAAGTCCAACGAGGAACACCCCTTGCAGAGGATGAACGAGAAAGAGCAGCACCAGGCTGTAGAAGAAAAGGATAAGTATGAAACGTTAATGCCCGAACAAGATGAACGGACAGGAAAGATGGACAGAGAAAAGACGAAAGAAAGTGAAGAGAGATTGAATGAGGGGAACTGAGGTTCAAACGAATGAATGAGTTGAAGGGAGGGAGGGGGAGGGGAATCCAAAGGAGAGAGGAGAGACGCGGGAGAGGAAGATGAGAAAGAGAGAAGAGATAGAACCAGCTTGAAGCCCGGGGGGCCTGGAGCCGTGGAGAGAAAGAAGGAGAGCTAAAGGTGGGAAAGTTTAGTACAGTTGCCCAGTTGGTCAGTTAGCCGTTGTTGGTCGACTGATTTCCAAGTGTGGTGATGGGACTTGAATGGAGACCTGAAGGAAAAGGAGAGGGACCCAGAAAGACAATGGAGGTGTAGGTAAGATAGGTAGGTAGGCAGTAGAGGACTCAGCGACACAGACACGAAGAGAGAGCGATAGACACTTAGACAGACCAGACTCCAGGTGCAGGCTGCGTGTTAACAGGTCGATTCTGGAATAGTGTCCATTAGTACATCAGTTAGTTGTTGTTATAACTTGTACCTGACTAGGTGAACTTCCTGAAGGGACGGATGGGGAGGGGCGGCTTTGACTGCTGGAGCGGCAGAGAAACAGCCAATGACTGGCAGGAGTTCATCTGACTGGCCCCATTTTCATCACCACCTCAGGCATTCAACCACCAGACTCAGGCTTCTCCTGGTTCCACGCGAACCGTGAACCGCAAGGACAAGAGAAGAAAATATGAGTAAGACAGGCACACAGACTGCATACTCTACACAGTACAGTCCGTAGACTGCAGCCCATTTTGGCCCCTCTTCAAGAACGGTTAGTGTATGTGTGTGTCTCTTGAAAGCCCGTGACTCGTGCAGTCGATTTATTGCTACTATTCTTATGCCTACGTACCACTATCCAGTCTCCAGTATCCACAGTCTGACTGCTAACAGGTACCTTTAGTTCGCATGGCTTCATTGTTGACGAAACAATCTCAGTCAGCAGCAGTCCATCCAGCCATTCACAAATAGCCAGAACCTGTCCAAAATCCGGTACCAGTCCGATCCAATGGTCCATGGTTCAATCAAATTTCGTCCTCCCCTTTCCAAATCCAAATCAAATCAGAATATCCGGACCGTAATTACACACGTAATAATAAGCCGGATGAGAGAAGATCGAAAAGTCGACTGGGAATCGAGGCCTGTCAAAGAGAGGAGAGGAGGGGGGGGGGCGATCCTGTCAGAAAATGAAAAAAAGGGCTCCGTAATTGCCCACGCTTCTCAAACGAAGATCGATGCACATTCCTACAAAAAATGGGTCCCTCTAATCCCACTTGGGAGGGAGGGAAAAGGCCCCGGCACGACGCACGCAACGCAACGCCCATTGTTTTTTTTTCTTCTTTCTTTTTTTTCTTTTCTTTGCCCCTCTCACGGTCTCACGCCTTTTCTTTTTTAGGACTAAAGTAGCCACGCGAGCGGATTCCAATCGCAAGGTACAGGACTCACGGCAGACCGTCTGGCCCCTTTGAGGCTGAGGTTCAACCTGTGGCTTGATGACCAAGACATGAAACACGCACGCATGCTCTCTAGGGCTGCTGGCTCCTCAATCCTCCATCCCATCATCTTTGCCTGCCCGGAAATTTCCAGATTTCGGCTCGACTGGAACTTGAGTTTACCGCCATCCCCATCAGTCATAATTTCAAGATGTGAATGGAAGGAGGAAAGTTTGATTTCCCTCTTTTTCCTTCGGCTCACTTCTTGCATACCTACAGCAGCACATTTGTCATGACTGCGATTCTGGCCCGTCTGGTTTGAATTTCGACATAGTTTGTTTATCGGTTTCGACACTCAGCTTATCAGTTGTTGTACTGTGTGTTCCGAAGACGCCGACATGTGCATCAGCCTAATGGGAAGACAACAACTACAGAACATCAACAAGACCATCTCTCTCTGTCCGCCTCAATTCTATATGCGCATAACCGACACTATGGCTCACTCCAAGGTATTCAAGGTACAGAACCGCCAGGCATCCCAACGAACGGAACCGCGATGCCGTCCTGGGAAGGGCAAAAGTCGGACAACGCAAGGCTGAACCTGCAGACACCCTTCCAATATGGCACAGGTTATCCAAAAGAGAGAGAGAAGCATGAACCAAACTCAAAAGTCCAGAGTAAGAAACCGAGAGTGAGACACCGGTTTTCCCCCGTAGATCCCCGAGATTTTTTATTTTCTGATGTGTGGGCTACACCGAGCCAATGCTTGTTGTCAACCCCTCTCCCGTCACAAATGTTGCACAACTGACGGAGCCTCGAGAGCCTGTCATCTTCACTTTCCGGGATGGCCCACCATCAGCCCTGCCTCCCCTCCCTAGTTCGCATTCAAGAACGAGAAGGAGAGAAGGAGTCAAATGAGCCTCGGACAAGACTCGGGGTGGTAAACACTGCAGAGGCAGCAGCGGCAGCAGCAGCACAAACAGCAGCACAACCACTAAATTTGCCTTCCAGGCCTCTCCACCGGTCATCGTTCCACTGACGGCAAGGGTCGAGAGATGAGCGCATGGCAAATTTAAGAATCCCGCACCCGTGGGGGGTCTTAGAATAATGAAAAGACTGCACGCTCGGAAAGTCAATCTTAAACATTTAGTACCGGCCGGCCCTCTCGCCCCGTCCATCAATTCTTTCTTCCGGAATCCGAAAGGAGGGCCGATCCTGATATCTCTCAGAGGCTCGCTCACATTGGGGGAGAGAAGGTCCAGGCCCATGGCATACTATCCTGCCTGCCATGCACCACTCAAAGGCCGCTGCTTGTTCGCCCCCTCTCAAGATTTCGTTGGTCGGTTTCAGCGATGCAATGCATGGAGTGCATGTGGTGCAGTAGAATGCAGTGCAAGCGGCCTAGCTCTCTCGTAGCAAGCAATAGCTTTCTTCTCCTTCCTTCCTAGGCTTTCTCTTCACGAACACAGCATTCACCCTTGATACTCAGTACTCGTAGTAGTAGATGTAGATCCACACAACTTCCCACATGAGACACTCGGGGCTCTAAAGCCTGAGTCCAAAATCCAACACCGAGAAATAAAAAAACCGAAGAGAAACGGACAATGGTATCACAACAGCCCATGGGAAAACGCTAAGAACCCAACACACTCGAAGAAAGAAAACATCAACACCTCCAGCAGCAAAGCGCATCGTGAACAAGCCCATGCTCACAGCTCCTTCTCCCTCCTCTCCCTAACCACCTCTTCCCTTCTCACTTCCCTCTCCACATCCTCGAGTCGCCCCTCCCACTCCGCCCAGCACTCCCCGCCACTGACCAGCGCAACCTCATACCATCGCTGCAGCGCCTTGGCCGACCGGACCCGTAGCTCCGAGATCTGCCGGGCCTGATCCTCTTGGATCTTGGATAGCTGGTCGAGTCGGGGTTGGAGTTGGATCAAGGAGGCCGAGGTCTCCGCGTCGGGGATGGGGAGGTCATTCAATGAGGAGAGGCGGGAGGCGGTTTCGGGAAACGCAGAGGCATAGGACAGAACGACCGAGGCGAGATTTTGGGTGGTCAGATTCTCTGGGAGGGAGCCGGGCGGTGCTGGGCGAAAGAGTTCGGGGAAGCGATCGTCTAGAGTGGTATATCGCGTTAGTGGTTGTGGTTGGTTCCGTTTGTGTATATACGGGGGGAGGGATATGGGAGATAATTTTGAGGAGCGTATTCAAAATAACAAGGCAGTTAGAAAGAGGATTCATCGACATACGTAGACTAAGAACGTCTCTCACGGCAGGGATGTTCCGACTCAGTCGTTCCAAATCCTTCTCAAGGCGAAGGAGCCGACGTGAGATGCTGTCGTCCAGAGAGGCCGGCTTTGCGGGCGGCGTGGGTTCGCCGGTCCAGTTGGCGTCACCGGTGAGGAGGTATGTGAGGCGTCGGAGACGAGTCTCCAGAAGCTCTATAGTGGCGCCAGCCACTGTGTCGTTTTCGAGGGCCATGAGGGAATTGATAGGGATTGTTGACGTGACTTGTGAATTGGATTCTCGGGGGTGTTGGTGTTTGGGGATAGGAGAGTGGGGTGCAAACTGGACATACACACGTGGGGAAGCTCTCAATTCCACAACAAATGGTTCCGCCGACGATGATCTTATCATTAGAAGCCTACGACTGATTGTTCATTTCCACCCTTAATGATCGCGATCTCTTTAACACACTCCAATAGTTGGGAGCATAGCATGCCATATGTATATCCATAAGTACAAGTTGTGGTTCATCGTCTTCACGTCGCTTTGTCGTCAACCGCGTCCCACATATCGGCATCTAAGGTAGGTTGCACAGGACCAGCTGTGCTGCTACGGCTAAGCAAAGGTCGCCCATTCACCTCTTGCATCTCTTGGCCCGGACCTTGTGTCTCGCTGAAAGAGGGTACCTGATAGTCAAAGACGTTCACATTCTGCGTCGATTGCTGCTGCTCTGGGTTCGGTGATGGCTGCCATAGGGTGTTAGTGCTGTCCATGTGTACCTGTTTGAACGGTTACCCACAAGAGTACCAGATGACTGATGTTGCGTGTCCGGTGGATTGTGTGCCACCTCCGCGTCCTGGAGCTCTGACTCGAATGTTTCGTTGTCCCTCGCTACAAATTTCTGAACCATTGTCAATTACGAGTATCACCATGATTTGGGGCGCTTTCTTACCTGCAGCTGAACAGGAGCGGTTTCTTCCTGCAATTTAATTGCATTGGTGTTGGCATAGACAAGCAGAACCTGGGTTGACTCTTCGCGGGCAGCGCGAAGCACCTCGGCCTCATCAACCCTGCGCGCGGTGTAACCGATGATGTCCGTTTGGTCAGAGTCACATTTAACCCGGCCCTGCGACTCGGCTTTGCGAATGGCTGCATCTTCCGTTGAGAAACTGAAGCGCCACCACTGATACTCTTCCGTCGTTGGGGGCTCATTATTTGGTGGCACGCGCTGGTCACGACGTTTGAGGACGTAGGTCACATGAGGCTCAGTGCAAACACCTCGCAGAGTGTATCTATGATGTGGCTCTGCATCAGGTGTAGCCTCCGTAAGGAATTTGGAGTAGTCTCGCAGACTGTCTTTGATTCTTTGTTTTTTGTCCTCCAAGCCTGCACATCATGATCAGCAGCAATACGAGACATGGAAGACAATGTGCTTTACCTCTTAGCTGCTTCTCTATCCTGGCCGAAACCGCCCTCAATTCCTTTGCTACGTTTTCGATGTCCATGTCACTTGGTGCTGAATCAGCAACCTTGGAAGTTATGACGGAGGCAGCCTTTTCGAGAACATCCCTGGAGGTCATTCCTGTCTGGGCAGTTAAGTTGGACTGTGAGCAGCGCTTGATGGCCTTGTCTAACTTGTCAATCTTCTCGTAAGCTTGAAGTCGCCGTGTACGGAAATCGCGGGCGACCTCTCTGCTGTTCGCCATGTACCGGTCGGCATAAAATACAGGGGGGACGGCCACATCAATGGGCTTCTGTGAGCTTTCCAGCTTCATGACAAGTACTTCAGCAAGAGTTTCAAGCCAAACTTCTTCGAGCGGCTGGTCTGGTCTGTCGCACCAAAAGGCACGATCAAGAACATCATAGAGTGTTTGACCAGGATCGTGCTCAACCAGGGGTTCAAGTAAGTGAAACTCCTTCTGTTCCATCATGTCTTCTGCTGGCCCATTGTAGCCGGTTGTGGAGAATATTGTCCCCAGCTGGTTTCCTGGATCCGCGCGGACCGCCGCTTCTTGCCATGCTTCCAAAAACCTAGAAACAGCACTATCGCGGTCGTGCTGGGAAATACATTGTAGACTTGCCAGAGCATCAGGACTGCCAAAAGCACGCGTTGTAGTATCCAAGAATGCCACGAGCCTCTGAGCCTCGTAGATAATATCGTCCCAATCAGTATCACCTTCATGGGCTTCAGACATAGTCACTATTTTGGGAAGATTGATTTGCTGTCCATTCCACCATTGAGCATCGTGGCCGTAGTTGGGGAGAGCGCGATTGCGCAGCAGAAGGGCCTCCCTTGCGAGGGGAATCGAGTGAAGTATCGTCACCAATCCACCCAGATGCGTGCTCTCCTGAGACGCGCGAATGAACGCCGGTTCATCTTCTCGTCTTTTACGATCAGTGGGGTCAGGACTGATGATAATCTCGTGAGCGCTGGAGTTGAATAGCGTCATTGCCCATGCGCCTTCGTCGTAATGATCACGGGTCGCTCGGCTGAAGCTTGTATTTCCTGCCCTTGTGACACCTGTCTCCTGCTGCCCGAGATTCTGACTCAGAGACATGGCGACTGCTTGTTGAAGCTCACGTTCTTCCTGCTCGGCCAGAGTTAACCCTTTGCCATTGTCGGCTAACGAGCCAAGTCAGCTCGACGCGCAAGTAGCAGCTTATGCATTTTCCAACCAAGAAACTCTCACCGGTGTTGTTCTGTGTTGCCGCAGGATCACTGGATGATCTGAGGTTGGATGTAGAGGGTGGTCGGGATGGAGGAAGACGGGATGGAGGCCCAGCAGAAGGGCTATACGGTGAGTCGACATGCTCAATCTGGAAGGCTTGAAAGACAGGAACATCAGTACACACGAGTCCAACCTCAGAAAGAGAGGCGCACATACCAGACATATCGGGCTCATTTTGATACTGATTCGCCTATATCGTATTGAGTTCCGCAGTCAGTTCGTGTTTCTCAGTGTCCAGGCGCAAGTCCGGTTTATCACCTGCGTCAGAGGGCCGGTCGGGTCTTCGAAATAGGCGTTGATCGCTTGATTTGAGTTGAGGTTATTAGCCTGTACAGAGACTTCGGTCAGCTATGACAGTAATGCCAGAGAGTCTGGATACAAACTTTCAAGAAGCTTATAGCTTGTTCGCGCGACGAGCTGGTAAAGTTCACGAAGTTCGCGATCTCCTCCTCTCTCGGTTCGGCCGCCATGCCGGGTCGGGCTCCCTGCCTGCTGACGACGGTGTGAATCCAGGTGCAAGACTGCTAGGTAAGTTGAAGTTTGATGCCCTGAAGGCAAGGGATCAGGATTGAGGCCTAGCTTGAGCCGGTCGGAAGAGGTGTAAGGCTTGTTTGTGGTGGAACGAGCGGCCGTTCCAGACGGAGGGGAGAGGAGTTCATTCAGGCGTCCCTCGGAGCTTCCCCCACTGAAGTTACCTCGCCGTACTGTATGTACACTTGACAGCAACGGCGCAGCGCCTTGGCAAGCTTCGGGCTGGCTCATTCCACCGTGTATTTTTGACATTTACACCATACATTATTGAAGGCGTAGTTACTTTTGTTCTGTAGGTGATAGCATGAATCTGAATCGCTTGTCTGCTCCTCAGCTGGTGTTGTGTTTAATAAAGTTGTCAAGAAAAGGCAATATGGAGATATATTTCTGGATCGTTGCTATGTTCGTCTGATCTAACATTACGGATATAGTTAAGTGGCTGCAGTGGTGCGAGTCTCACTCCTGGAGTCAAGTAGAATGATTATTTTTTTTCAGGTCGAGTCGCACATAGAAAATACCTTGCTTCTCCATATATTGAACGGATTGATTGGGTGGCATCCATGGACATACATGAATAGTAGGTAGATAAGAATGGCGGAAGATTCACTCCATGGAGAAACTTGTCTTGCGGAAATACTTACCATACCGAACCCATCTGTTCAACTGCATTGTTACCGACCGAATACCTACCTTACGTATCTTCAGTAATCATCTTTCATCTCATTACCCCTCCTCTCTCTGACTTGTCTCATATTCTAGACTGAGGACGGTCACATTCTTGCTGATCACCGTTGGACTTGACCTAATACTAATAGCTATCACTCATGCCAACTGCCCACCACGGTGACGCAGGGATTATTCCGAGATAGCTTTGAGTCTGGCTCTTCCGCCCCCCTCCTTCCGCCCCGCTGAGGAAGAGCCAACTGGTGAACAGCTCCTCCGTACCGTCGCTGCTATTCTTAATCTCTTGTCGCCCGCCCAACCAACCCATCCCAACTCCACTCGAGCCAAATTGTGGGGGAGTCCAACCCGTCGACCTTCGCCATCCTACCAGTCCTTATTGGCTTCTGCAAAACTTACCCAAGAAGAACCCGTTCCCCTTCGTAACAGAAATTCGGAAATCTACCCTTTTTCGCTTTCTCCGCTCCAAAATCCATCACGTCACGTTGTCCTTCGATCCCACCTCCCCCGAACTCGCCGAACCGACGTCGGCTTTGATCTCCCACACCCAACCCCCCCCTCCCCAAAGGGTCACAATGGCTGCCGCCTTTGACGACGAAGACCTCTCCGTTTCCCTTCCTCCTTTCGAAGCCGATCGCCCTCGTGACCGTCGTCCCAGTGCATCCAATCCTCCTCCCAATTCCAACTTCCCTGCCATGGCGATGCCTCCGCCATCCCGCCCGATCGGCAAAGGCGGAGACGCTGCGATGCAGTCTCCGGCCACCACCAGAGACATGCAGCGCCTTGATCAGTATCATACGGTGAAGATACTGGGAGAGGGCTCATTCGGCAAGGTGAAGCTAGCCATTCACCAGCCGAGTGGTCGGCAGGTCGCCCTCAAGATCATGCCCCGTCGTAAATTGTTGTCTCGAGACATGGTCGGTCGTGTCGAACGTGAGATTCAATATTTGCAATTGTTACGACACCCTCATATTATTAAGCTGTAAGGAGCTCCGCACATCTCTCCAGGATTGAGACAATCGCGATGAGAAGCTAATGGAAATCTCGCCCCGAAAGATATACCGTCATTGCTACCAAGACCGATATTGTTATGGTCTTGGAATATGCCGAGCGAGAATTGTTCGATTATTTGGTGAAGCGGGGCCGGTGCAACGACGCCGAAGCTCGCAAGTTCTTCCAACAGATCATATGTGCAGTAGAGTACTGTCATCGTCATAAGATCGTCCACCGTGATCTGAAGCCGGAGAATCTGCTCATTGACCGGGAGAAGAACGTCAAGATTGCTGATTTCGGCCTGAGCAACATTATGACAGATGGGAACTTCCTTAAAACTAGCTGTGGTAGCCCTAATTATGCAGCCCCCGAGGTTATCTCGGGAAAGCTCTACGCAGGACCAGAGGTCGATGTATGGAGCTGCGGCGTCATTCTTTATGTGCTATTAGTGGGACGGCTTCCTTTCGACGACGACTATATCCCAGCTCTTTTTAAGAAGATAGCAGCAGGAAACTTTCATATGCCTGCGTACATATCCTCCGGAGCTGCTCGTTTGATCCGGTCGATGTTGCAAGTTCATCCGGTTCATCGGATAACCATTCCAGAAATTCGCCAGGATCCTTGGTTTTTACAAGAACTACCGAAGTATCTGCAGCCCCCTCCGGAGGAATTCGTCGCTACCGGTGTGGACCCAAATAAGGCCATGGATCCACGCAAACTTGCACCGGGAAAACCCCTGTCCGTGCAGCACAAGATCCATCAGGTCGCCATTCAAAAACTGGAGCGGAGCATGGGATATACGCGCGAGGACATTGAAGACGCTTTAAAGAACCCTGAACCGAGCGCCATCAAAGATGCTTTTTTCATCATCATGGAGAACGAGATGATGCAGACGAACTGTAAGTTAGGTCAATCTTGCTTGCCACGGACCAATTGACTAGTACGCTGACGTTCACCCACAGCGCCAACAGACGACAACCTGATGGGTCCTTCCGTCGCCCCTTCACCACCCCCCGATCGAGTTCCTCAATCTTCAGCCACGGCTGGCCGATCGACTGTTCCGCTGAGCCCAGGATCCCCGTTAGCCGCCCCTACGAGACCGCGAAGTGGTTCACAGCGTCAACCGTCCCAACTGTCTCAGCAGAGTAATGCCGATGATCTCGATGCGCCGCGAGTTAGCCATGTTCGAATTCTGCCGACCAGTGTGCCGTTTGTACATGACCAACTCATGGAACAGCGGGAACGTGAGCAGAGAGAACGAGCCGCGGAGCGTTCATCTGAGGAACAGGCGCATGGTGGTCTAGATGCCGAGGATGACTTGAATCGGAATGGTCAAGCCGGGCGCTCGCAGGAGGAGCAGGAGGCGACTGCAAGGGCCTTGAAACCCCATTCCCGCAGCATCGTGGACCTCGAAAAACTGCGCCTCCAGCCCCCTGAAGGTCGCAGTACCCCGCACCAGCCCAAACGGTCGCGAAAGTGGCAGTTTGGCATTCGCTCTCGTAACCAACCTTATGAAGCAATGCTCTATCTATACAAAGCCATCTCAGCCCAGGGAGGAATTTGGGAAATAGCACCTACTGGAGCAGGTAAGTTTATGAGTGCCTATTATGAGCCTCAGAGCTAACAGGCAGCTTCTCAGATGGCTTGCAAATAGGCGAACAGGACCCGGACCAGCCTATGCCTCTTCAAAGCAAATACCCAGACCTACCGTCAGATTACTACATCCCAAAGGACCCCTGGTTCATTAGAGCGCGTCTCCTGAAGGAGGGAGTTAAGGCGCCGGGGCAGACTGCCAGTGTGCATAGCAGCCGAAGCGACCTGAACCTGGAAGACCTGCGGCGCCGGTTCAATTTCTCCACCGGACCATTCTCGGCTGATGACAAGGGCCTCACCCCAGAGCACGCGAGTATCTCGAATCCTTCTTCGGCGACCCAGGCTCACACAATCTCGCGCATCTCGTACGGAGTCTGGGTGTTCGTTGACATCCAGCTGTACCAGCTGGAAGAAAACAATTACATGGTCGACTTCAAGTGTGATGGATACCAAAATGTGATACGTGGTGGAGGTGACAGCGAATGGCACCCTATTAGTAAACGGTTCCGGAACAAGGAGAAAGAAGTGACGAGCCCTTACCCATTCCTTGACGTGGCCTCGGACTTGGTGGCTCAGCTAGCGACTGCTAGTTAATTAATGCAGCAGCTGGTATTTCGAAGGCGTTAAAAGGGCTTTCTGGAGCATTCCATGGGTGGCATTTGGCGTTATTTTCACTGTGTTTATTCAGCTTGATGTTGAAAGCTTTCTTTTGCATGAAACCTATATGATCTACGAGCGTTGCATGGGAATCGTTGTTCATCTTCATATATCCTCTTGGCCCGCGTGCGGATACCGAAACAAACTGATACTTAACAACCCAGGACTGCCGCGGCTCTCAGAAGGCAGTGCGAAGCAGGGGAACTTGATGAATCGAGACGGATCAGGGCTATTTTGGCACGGCACGGGTAGGTTGGGCGGCAGCTGCCTCTACCTGACTGCTGTTTCACCCTCACCCTCCTCTCGCCACATCCATGACCAAAACAACTACCCCAAGGTGGCCAGGTGACAGAGGGAGTCCCTTGGCGAGTGACTGCGTGCAGCAAGAGAGGAACCAAGCTGGAAGAAGCACCAACGTTTGGCCAAGGCAGTTCAGCGGAGACTCGAGGATTCCCACAGAAACTCAGGCCAACCGGCCAACGTGGAGACAGAGGCGTTATGCTTTCACTCAGGCAGGCAGAACACCAAGGAATCAAGGCCAACGGGGAATTTCATGTATATAGAAACACCGCAGTCACCCTAGTTGGCCGTCTGCGACGCGGGAAGAGCCTCGCGAAGACGACTTAATTCGGGAATAAGGCTTAATCAATCAATTTATGGAGCAGAGCATCCCGAAGCACCCGCCCTCAAAGCTGCCATCTGACAACTAAGGGCCCTTGCAGGGAGTATCAAGATGAAAACTCCTTCGTCACGAAGCTAATTAGTCGTTGGGAAGCCGCTTGGCCTAGGAAACAAGCTGGTTGGCTGCATGGTATGTATATGGAGCGAGGCCGTGTCATCAGTTGCTTGCTGGTCATAGTGACTGCGACCACGCGGCCCATATGGATGCCAGAAGCGAGAATGAATCCATCATTCATTGATCTATTTATAAAGTAGAAATTGACAGGTGTAAAGCAACAAGGGAGGACCGACTAGAGTTCGGCAGGCGTCGGGACGAGGTCTCCACCTCCACCGGGCTTATTTACTTGCCTCCGCATCTGCTCTTGCCTTCTACTTTCCTTCACCTCCGCACTCCCGGTAATGAAGACCACTTAGGGATCTCTAATCATTCATCCTCTTAATGGATCGTGAAAAGAGATTCAAGTGTCGCAAATGCAATAGAGCATATACAAAGCTTGAACATTTGACGGTAACCATACCTTCTCGTTCTAAACAACTAAATTTGACAATCTATAGAGACATGAGAGAACCCGCAAGTGCAGTGTGCCCTCGGCGATGGAGTCGATGCTAACACGATTCTAGACTCAAATACCAGACCCTTTCAGTGCGAAGAGTGTGGAAGAAGCTTCGGGCGAGGCGACGTCCTTGGACGACACAAGAGACTTCATGCTCGTTCACGAGACAAGGCTAGCCAGCCCAAAGACAACCAAGGCGATGAAGCTCTCCAGACATGCTCCGATGCCTCAACACAGAACGTCCTCACCATGCCACCGTTCGAACCCCCCTTCTCAGAAGATCAACACACTACACTGGACTCCAATATATTAGACTGGTTCATTCCTGACTTCTGGGGTTCCTCGTCCCTCCCTGTACTCGAGACTTTAGACTCAATTCAGTCACAATCGCTCCATGGGACAGGACTTTTGCCTCTCGACGAATCAATAGCCGGGCATGAAACTGGGGCTGGTAAAGCGGCCATGCAACAAAGCTATCGACTGATCGAGGATCTCTCCAAGCGGCTGAATGCCGAATTGCACAACTCGGGTATCACATCCAGCTTCCTAGACGCCTGCCTCCAGGAATTCTTCGATCGCATCTCTCCCTGTTTCCCAGTCATTCACAGGCCTACCTTCGTACCCCGTGAGACCATTCCTCCGCTTCTTCTCAACATGGTAGCCCTGGGTTCTCTATTCGTATGCCTACCTGACTCAGCACACAAGGGCGAAATGCTATGGCGTCTCGGCCACTCCACCGTGGCTACCTCCTGGCAAACGCTCATCACCCATCGGGGACCGCGCGACGCATGCGACGGGGTGCAACTCGTTCTTACCGCGCTGTTGGGTCAACTCTTTGCTCTGCTCTCTAGCAATGAAAGCATTCGAACCACCGCCTTTGTCTGGCACGGGCTCGGCTTTTACTGGGCTCGTACGTGCGGGATGTACGCTGTCGCCGAGCTCCAAACCCCGCCTACGATGCCTTGCCCTCCGCAAGAACTACAAGCGCACTGGCACCGCTGGACGACTGTTGAGACCCAGAAACGGGCCATCCTAGGCCATTACATTCTGGACGGATTGATCTCTCAGACATCCGGCGCCCCAGCCTCCGCCCGCCACCTCATCAACTCTTTGCGCACGGCCGGCTCTGACGTCGTCTTCCAAGCCCAGACAGCAAACGACTGGCTCGACCAACTACAGCAACCGGAGTCATTCCTCCATGATATGCCTTTTGGCGAGGTCTACTTCTCAATCTTTGCCTCGACGTACCCATCTCATCCTCTCAATCTGTCCGACTTTTCGATCTTTGTAATCCTCGAAGGCTTTCAGAGCTTAGTGTCTGATCTCCATGAAATTGGGAAAGGCAAGCCGGCAATTGGGACGATTACCGAGCGCCAGATCCTTCAAGCGCTCTTGAACATCTACGAGGTTCATCTCCGTCACCGTTTGGGGTCGTTGTCCTCACCATCCAACCTATCATCATCCTGCCTCCCGCCACATAAACCAGGGGACTCATTCCAACTCCTCATCAGGTGGCATACCGTCTGTCTCGAGCTTGCACTACCCACAGCTAGTTTCTATAGATCCCTCTGCCAAAGTCACTCTCACCTTCCTCGTACGATAGGAGACCACCAGTCCAAAGCCGCAGCTAGCACCAGTACCAACTTCACAGTCCGAGGAACAGCAAAACCCATGACAGATCCACCACCCTCAGACCATCAAAACCACCACCAGCAACAACCACCACCATTAGTCCCCGTCACCAGAACTTCCCCACCCCTCCGCGCCCTCCTCAACGCCCTAACCATAACGCGCCTCCTCAATCGCCTTCCCTTCCACCAAGCCCACAGCCCGCACATCCCCGCCGCCATCTTCGCCACCGCAGTCACGATAGCAGGATGGTATCTCTCCCGCAAAAAGGAGAAGATATTCGTCATCGCGGACGCGCAAGATTTCCTGGATGGGTGGAACTGGGCTGAGGTATTGGGGGTTCGTCCATCTGGGCCAGAGGAAGGTGACGCTGATGGACGTGGGGGTGGCTGTACGGAAAGAGCCGCAGCGGCAGAGGAGGAGATGGAGCATCGTTTCCTTTGTGATGCTGACGGCTCAGGTGTAGCGGTGCATCTGCTTCAGGAATTAAACTCCTTGGTGATCTGCTTGGAAACGGTTGTGGCGCGGTGGCAAATCAGCGGGGTGATGGCGGAGATGGTGAGAGGGTTGATGGGGCTGTGCTCTGACTTTAGGGGATTGTAGCTACGGTAGTGGATATACTACACTTACTAGGCGTAGACACAAGTGTAGGAATGGGTGTTATTCGTGCAGTGAATGTAGAGTTATATCAAGCCCCAAATACATTTTATACATAAACAGCATTCGTCAATCTACATGCTGCTTTAGCGAAGATCATACAGCACTGTCAATCATAATTATCATTTCACTCTCAATCAAGACAGTACAGTACATCCAAGAAAAGAAAATCCTATTTACCCATTACAAGCAACCCACCCATCGAGACTCCACAGAATCGAACGGAACCCGATCGAATCAAAAATACCTCCCCGTGCGTTTCCTAACCCAGGGTCCCGCGAAATACAACGGCAACCCCAGCGCCAGCACGGCCCACTCAATCCCCGCAAACTCGTAGAACATCCGCGCCAACCCCTGGCGCGTCATCCAGTCGACGGAGCCCTTACTCAGCCCGAACGCGACGATGTTCTTGCTCACGTTGACCACCACGAGGGCCTCGCCGCTGGCGTGCGGGTACGAGTCGACCACGTACGACAGCATGACCGAGGGGACGAGCGTGAGGCCCGCGGCGGCCATGGCGGAGCCCAGCGCCGGCAGCGCGTAGTGCATCTGGTGGGCGGCCGTGTACCCGAAGACGACGAGGCCGACGGGCGCGATGCAGAAGGGCACGACCAGCGCCGGCAGCCGGTGCTCGGGCTTGTGGACGTTGCGGTTCCGGCGGCGCAGGAATTGCGACAGGGCGTCGGTGAGTGGGCCCGCGAGCGGCGCGACGACTATGATCCCGATGAAGCTGCCCAGTGTCCAGAGGCCTAGGGCGCCTGAGGTGAAGAGGTAGGGCGGGGCGCTGAAGATTGAGGAGGAGAGGGTGGAGATTGAGACCACTCTTTTCTTGAGGTTAGTGGGTGGGCGGAGAGGATGTGAAGAAAGGGAAGGGAAAGGGAAACTCACGCCCCGAGTACAACGCCATACATCATTGAAGCCAGCAGCACCCCCGGCAGTAGCAGCATGGGGATCGGGAGCCAGGCCGCGTACCCCAGGAATCGGACCACGCCTTTCTTCTTCGCCTCACTTGAGATGCCGACCCGGAAGAGACCCTTCCAGTAGTCCGTGTAGGAGAATTGTTGAGCTTGGTTTTGCGAAGGCGGGAGACTCTCGATGTGGCTGTGGGCGGCATCGCTCTTTTCGGGAAACTCACCTCCGTCTTGCTCCTCTTCGAACTCGGGCTCGTACGTCGTCTCCGGAAGGAAGAAGAAGGTCGTGACCAGGTTGACGGCCGCCACGATCAGGCACACGATGAAGAACCACCGCCAGCCGCGTGCGGCAACCAGGTAGCCCGCAATCACGGGTCCGACCTGGGATCCGGCGGAGAGGAACAGGGCGTACGTGGCCATTGCGCTTGAGTAGTTGCGCTCGTAGAACATGTCTGTTCTGGTCAGCAATTTGATGATACAAGCTGCGAAGCTGAGACAGAGAGAGCATACCGGCTAGAATACTGGGACCCAACGATTCAATCGAACCATAGCCTTCGACCGATGTTAGTGTCTGTGTGGAACGAATGAGCAGCGCACTGCATGTTATACAACCCACCAAAACTGGCAAACACCCTAGCGCCCATCAAACTGTTGTAATCCTTCGCCACGACCGTCCAAATGATCCCCGCCACGAACATCGTCATGGAGATAAGGACTATGGGCCGCTTGCCAAACGCCAACGCCAACGGCATCCAGAAGAGATTGGCGAGGCCCATGCTGAGGACGGACCATGAGATCAGGTCGGCGAGCTTCTGATAGCTGACTTGCAAATCCATGGCCAGTGACTCGAAACCCGTTGCTATGCCGGACTTTCTCGATGTCAGATTCTCCCCTCAGTGATGCAACAAATGAGAACAATGAATATCTCACTGAGTACATGTTCCCCATAAACACAAAAACATTGATTGTCAAGAGAGCTGCATATCGGACCCGACGGGGGTATAGCTACAAGAAGAGGAGCATGTCAGTGTCAATTGCCCTGCCACCTCGCCAGACCCCATCCAGGTCACCAACCTTCGGATCGGGTTTCGTTGTCATGGTGGTATATGTGTGCATTCACTCGCGCCGTACTTGACGAACTGTTTGTGTCAGAGCCCAGGACTTGAGAACCCAGACAGAAGAGCAAGGGTGGAAAGGGACATATCGAGACACTTATACCCCATGTAGCGTACCCCATGGGGAAAACCCGCACCAAGCCCCAGCTAGGTCCCTAGCCCTCGGCTGTCAGTAGGAGCCCTGGATTATTGCCCAGGTGGTATCCTTGAGTCTCCCGATGTGATTCGTGCACGGGATGTGGTGCTCGGCTTAACCGACCAGGTCGGCTCCACATTGCGTCTTCGAGGATGAATCCAGATAGGATTATCGAATCTCGCACAGGACTCGACCAATGGCGAGTGCAGGCCATGGTGGTCCATGCTCCCTATCGCTATGCCTTCTGCCTATTGAGGGGGTGGTTCATGTATGTCTATCAACGGTGTTGATTGGCGTCCTGATAGTCAATACCGTGGGATTATAGGCTCGCTCGTAGCTTGGACCTTTCTGATGGCGGGGTCTCATATAGCTTGTATGCAGCAGAGTCTCCTAGCGGTGTCTGATCTTGGTCATTGTGACAGTTGGTGATCGGGGAGGGGGCGAAGATAGGAAGTACCTTGAACGCCAGAGGACGTGCGTCACACAAAACACGTGGGCAGATCGTCGCCAAGCCTGTGTGAACGAGATCTGGATATTGTCAAGCCTCAAGCTCATTCAGATGATTAGCTTTGCCTTCCTCGTATCAGGACCAAACTTGTCTGGATTTCTCGCGTTGGCCATGACGCGAAGTCATGCTCGCCCACTCATTCTTCGGAGCGAGGTGTAGTGATGCTTGAGTGGCAAGCATGACCAGCGGCAGGCGGAGTCTTCTCTAAGACGGCTCTAGCTTAACCATCTCACGTTCGAGCCTTCCTCCCATTGAGCAGCTGGAGTAAAAAGCACTGCAACATGCGTGGCAACGGCAATGCAAGCGAGGTGGAGAACATCCATGAATTCTGGGGTAAAGTGGGGAGAGCAAATACGAACTGTCAGAGTCATGCGGGGATGGAATTCCCAAGTCCAAGTACCAACAGAAAGGAGAATCCGGGGGAATGATCGATGCACCTCGGATATAAGCCCCGGATAACCCGACCCCCGGCAAAGCCGAGCAACCACCTTACTTTACGCCCGTAGATGGAAACCACCAATCCGGTAATTGGAAGCTGTGTTGCGCCCATGCCTCGGATTTAAAACCTCTGCAGTAACCCTTGACCTTCATTTTTTTCTCCCTTCCTCAGCCACTTCCCATAGTTTAATATTTAGTACCTGACAATGGGTATAATCAACAGTCTCATCAGCGGTACCCCCGACCCTTCAAAAATGGTAAGCAGGCCCGGAACCCCGAGTCGACAAACGCTCCCATCGATTCTCATGATCCAACTCGCATGAACTGACAACGGGACATTGACCCACCACAAGGCCTCCTCAGACTCGCAACTCAACATCATCATCGTCGGCGCCGGCCTCAGCGGCCTCGCCACGGCCATCTCGTGCGCAATGGCCGGCCACACCGTCACCGTCCTCGAACAAGCGCAAGAACTTGCCGAGGTCGGCGCCGGGCTCCAGATCACCCCCAACGCCTCCCGGCTCTTCAAACACTGGCAGCTGCCCGCCAATATTTGGACGGAGGCCGCCGAGCCAACGTCGCTGACGGTGCACCGGTACACGGGGGAGACGCTGGCGCACGAGGCGGACTTCGACCGCAACATCCGCGCCAAGTACGGCGCGCCGTTCATCGACCTGCACCGCGTGGACCTGCAGCAGGCGCTGTACGCGCGGGCGCGGGCGCTGGGGGTGACCTTCCACCTAGACGAGAGGGTCGACGCGATCGACTTCGAGACGACGACCATCACCACCCTGAAGGGGCGGCGGGTGAGCGGCGACCTGATCGTCGCAGCGGACGGGCTGTGGTCGCGATGCCGCGAGAACTTTTATGGAAGGAAGGACGAGCCGCTGCCCACGGGCGACCTGGCGTATCGCATCGTGCTGACGGCCGAGCAGCTCGCGGACGACCCCGAGCTGCGCGCCTGGGTCGAGAACCCCACCGTGCACTTCTGGGTCGGGCCGGGGGCCCACGCGGTGGCGTACTCGTTGCGCGGGGGCTCGATGTTCAATATTGTGCTGCTGGTGCCGGATACGCTGCCGCCGGGGGTGTCGAGGCAGGCCGGGTCGGTGGAGGAGATGCGCGGGTTGTTCGTGGGGTGGGATCCGGTGTATGTTCCCCCCCCATCTGTGGAATTGAGTAGTAGCCCACTGACTGGAGGAAAACAGACTAACCAAGTTCCTGACTTACGTGAATGGCGTCGACAAGTGGCGCCTCATGCATCGTACGCCAATCCCTTTGTTTGTCCATCGAGAATATGCACTAACCTTGACTGCAGACGCAGAAATGGACTCCTGGATCAACGACAAATCAAACCTAGTTTTCATGTACGATATGATCCAGTCCTTGTCTTTCTAACTTAAATGCTGCAAGGTACTGACCGGAATCACCAGCGGCGACGCCTGCCACCCCATGCTCCCCTACCTGGCACAGGGCGCCAATTCCTCCCTCGAGGACGGCGCCGTCCTCGGCGGCCTCCTTGGCCATCTGAAGCAGAAATCCGACCTCCCACAGATTCTGAGACTCTACGAGAAGCTCCGTAAATCCCGCGGGGAGGCTATTGTCCGGGAAACGTTCAAGCAGGTGTGTTTCCCCCACACTCATCACTTTTTTCCATCATTAGATCAATCCCACCACTAACCAAGGAGTCAGAGAAACGACTTCCACATGCCCAACGGCCCCGAACAAGAGAAGCGCGACCAAATCTTCCTGTCTCAGTTAGGCCAGGAACTCAAAGGGGCGTTCCCGAGTCGATGGTTCGTTCCACCTGTTCTTGGGCCTACAAGGAGTATAACTAACCACTGGCAATGCAAATGAACAGGACCTGTCCCGAAGTCCAACCGTGGTTGTACGGCTACGACGCCATCAAGGAGGTCGAGAACGTTGTGGCGGAGAATCCGGGGCTGTTCAGTGGGCAGGTCACGGCGAACTTGTAGAATGCTACTTTCTTTTGATTCTTTGTTGTCCGAATTCTTGAAGCGGGATCTTTGTACAGTCCTTTTGCAATATAGTATACATTTCTTCTTGTCTTCACGGCTGATGAGGTCAATTCCAAGACCTTAGTCAATCTCTCCTCTGTGTATGCAGTGATCTAATTTTTGGGAGCTGAGTCGCTCAAGGGGGAATACGCAGTGTTGCAGGGGGATCGCATTTCTTCATATTGGAGAGAGACCCAAGGGGTGATGAAGAGTGACTATCTACTGTAGTAAACTATCTTTAGAACAAGCACCTCAAGCTCGCAAGTCATATCCCAACTTAGTCTTCAAGCTTGCTTCGCCCCTTACATCCTGCATGACAAGCGACAGCATTTCTCTTCCTCCGTAGTACACCCCACCCCTCGTTACAATGAACTCAATTGGAAACGTCACATTGATTCGTGATACAGAGGTTTTCGTTGTTCTGATAGAAAGGTTCCACCACATAGAGTAATTAGTTGCAACGAGGTCCATCACAACGTGGGGCAACTGCAATCCATCAACCAGCGCAGAAACCCCAGCCTACCGAAGCATCAAAAGATAATCCCCACGGAGACACACTTCCGCCAGACGACACATTCCAGAGCCCAAATACCCACCCTCAGAACTAGATATACGGTAGGTAGTAGCTAACGCATTCCAGTGCCTGAGCCTTTTACCTTTTCCAGATACAGTGCAATCATCTCGTTACCTTTCCAGCTTTACTCCAACCATCCCTTCCCCTTCCCCTTCCCCAGACCCTATCTTATACTCCTCCAGTAACCTCCGAGTCAGAACGAAGCGTATATAAACCCACCTCTCACCCCACTAGACTAACCCCATCCCATCTCCACCATTCAAATACTCATCAGTCCCTAACACAACACACCATCTTTACCATCTCACATACCATACCCCCAGCCAACCCACCAAAACCATCACCATGAAATTCCTCTCCTCAATCCTCCTCCTCAGCGGTCTCGCAGCAGCAGCAGCAGCAGCAGCAGCAGCAACAGCCCCATCCAACGCCCATCCCACCACGCTCGTCGAGAAGCCCGCCACCGCGGCCAGTGCTTCTGGCGCTGGCGGCGCTGCCGCCGGTGGGAGCACGTATAACCACGTCGCGGTAAGGGAACAGCCCAGCCCAGCCTGCTTATCTCTTCCCCAAGAACAACAGATCCGGTTTCTCAGGGCCGTTACTTATAAATCAACAATGGACTTACTGAATCGTGATGATGGTGAGCGATAGACCCCCAACGAGGGCCAGAAGCCCGTCACCGATGGTGGGGATCACGGTGCTACGACGGTCGCTACCAGCGGCAAGGCTAATGCCAATGCCAATGCCAATGCCAATGGCAATGGCAATGCCAGCGCCAATAGCAAGGGCGATAGCAACGCGGGCAGCAGCAGCAACAGCAACGCGAGCAGCGCCAAGGGCAACAGTAACAACAAGGGCAACGGCAACGCCAATAGCAACACAGGCAGCAACGCCCACAACGCCGCCGCGTCCTCGCATCAATAGAAGATCGCCGGGCATTGGATGAAAAGTCCAGGATCTCGTGATGGCGCTTATGAAGGAGGTGGTCGATGAGGGTGTTACGGAGATGATGCAGGAGGGGTTGGATTAGACCAGCAAGAAGATGGAGGATGGTGGGTGGTGGTTACGAGTCATGGATTGTTGTTTTGTTGTTCGATGGATCGATTGTAGGGGAATTAGCGCAGCTGATTTACTAATATTATTAACACTAAGTGAGGGAAGCTTTGTTTCGGGTGGAGAGGTTGCAAGGTTATTTGCTAATGATCATCGTACATGTAAACATTGCATTGCTCCGCTCCTCTGGAACATCGCGACCCCTGATATGAAATGGACGAGGACCTCCCATATGGATATAATATAGGTGACAAACACCCGGCCTCAGTTATCGCCCAGCCCGTTCACCCGTCATTAAGAAATCAATTATCCAGCATCGGCAGCCCGCCCAGATCGTCAAATAGCCTCGCTATGCCTTCGAAGGAGCAATCCGGGAACCCGAAGCCGTAGGCCCATTCCTATACCCAACAGCTATTAGCATGTATCCATGAAAAAAAAAAAGCATCAGGGCGGTTCCAGGTACAAGGCTGAGAGATTAGGGGAAAAACTCACCGGAATGTCAAAACCAGTCCCACTGGGACTCGTATCCGCATACTCTCCGCCACTCCCACCGCCCCCACTCTCACCACCACCACCGCTGCCACCGCCATCGTGACTACTCGTCGAAGATGCCAGACTCTGCTGATTGAGCTGGTGCTGATGAAGGTGCTGCTGGTGCAGATGTGACAGCGACGAAGTGGACGATGGCAATGACCGGAATTCCCGGAGATAGTGTTTGATAATCTCGACGGACTTGCGGGCGACGATGGATTCGTCCATCGCCTCAAGGATCTCGACGCCCATCTCCACGGACCGCTGGAGCGGGACGGTCTCCGGGCAAGGGCCCAGTTTGGACATGGGAAGAAGGAGAGTGGAAGTCGCGAACATGACATACGTTGTGTTGTACCACCTATTACGCGGGGCATTAGCGTCAAAGCTCCGGCGTGGAGAAAGGCCAGAAGAAGGGTGAAAAGAACGTACCAACACCGGAAGAATTCATGGATGCGGTAAATATCGTAGATCACCTCAATGGTTTTCATGGCTGCATCGAGGCACTTGGCGATAGTCTGTTCAAGTTCCATGGGCGGGTGGCGGAGTTTGCGGGTGAAGTGGCTCAGGAAGGGGCGGAACAAAAGCATTTTGACATTGAAATAGCCTTGTATGGTTTAAAACAATCAGCCACGTATATGACCCTACCGTCTCTCGACGCACCCCCATGTTGTTGCGGTAGACTTACGAATACCCAGGACTAATCGTTGTCGACGCGCCCACTTAGGGTCTCTCAAGGCACCCCCGGTTGCCCGTTCCATCATGTCGGGCTTGAGCCGGTCCGGTAAGCGCGCCATCCAGCGGTCGAGCTCAGTCTCAATCTGGAGAGCTAAGTGTAGCTTCTCTTGTAATGTGATCCGTGAGTGGTATATCTGCACGGAAACTCGGCGAATGATCTGCGCGAAGTCGACCATCCAAGGAATGATGGCATATTCAGAGTCGTCTCTTTCCGGTAGAGCTCGATTGTGGTATTCGTCCATGCCTAAGGTGTCTGGACGACCGACTGAGAAGCTCATCTCACTGGATGCGATTAGTGACCTACCTGGCAGAATTGACGGTAGAACTTACATTTCCAAGGAAAAGAGGCCCCTAGAAACATTAGATCTAGCAACATATCATAAGGCTACAAGACTTACCACCAAGTCTTCGAGATCCATCCAGCGCGATGATCGTCTGTGCTCCGCACCTCCCGATTGAAGCCAGCAGCCAGGCACGTACGCACGGCGAGCCCCAGATACATGTAGGCCACTAACATAAAACATGAGTAATTTCCTCGCAGCGGAAAGAAACAACCAACTCACTATTCGGGTTCAGTTCATTCTGACAAATTTTCGCCTATCCAAGTCAGCTGCGCGCAAAGACCTAAACCCGTCAACGAAAGCTCACCATAAGATACAGACACTGCACTGTGTCCAGCGTATTCGAGAAATGCAGATAATTCAGATACATCTGGGCCTCGCCAAACAGTTTCCGGCTCCACTCGAACCTCGTCAACCCACCGAGCCTCTCCTCATCCCACACCCTCACCAAGGCTCCAAAGGAAAGAACACTCAAATACAGAGCCACAAAGCTGGGTTCCGGCTGCGCATTCCGGTTGAACCACAGATTATGCGCTCGCTGCAAGAAGTCCTCCTTATCGATGAGCGGGTGGATGAAATGGATATTCTCAAAGTAGCCGTTGATGAACGCGTGGGCCTGCTCGAAGTAATAGTTCTGCTCCTGCATAACCACCGGCTGTGCCGGGCCCGCCGTACACGAGGGTGAGAAGCTTGGGTTGTGCAGCGTCGACACGATCGAGTACCCAGCGGCGGGCTTTTCAGCACGGGGATGCTGCTGATGCTGTTGCTGCTGCTGCTGCTGCTGCCGCTGCTGCTCCTCGAGGCGTCGCTGTGGCTCCCGCGCCTTCTGCAGGTGTCCGAGCAGGGCCGCCGACGAGGTGCTACCGTGGAACTCGATGCCATTGGTGTGGTGATTCAGTTCGCTGATTTCATCCCCGACCGAGTCCCCGGCCTCGTCATGATGATCGTAGAGGGCCGGCGCTTCTTCCCGCGGAGTGGAGTCGTTGCGGGGCAGGGAGATGGGAGTCGCATCGATAGCAGCTTGGGGGACCACCGGTTGTTGGGCTGCTCCGGGACTTGTGAAGGTCGTGGGAATCACTCTCTGCGGTGGCTGCGAGGTGATTTCCGACTCAGCCAAGCGTAGCTTGGTTGTGAGCTCGTCCACCTTTCGTTCTAGATCTGCGACATAGCTGATCCGCCCTTTAACAATGCAATCTACTACAAACTGTGGCAAATGGGACTCTCCTTACCTGGCAGACCGACTACTTTCCCTCTGTCGGTAATTCCCTTGATACACGCAGGTGAGGTCACTTTCTGCGACGAGATCAGATATCGATATCTCTCAGGTGACTTAGAACGACAACATACTCTTACAGTGAGAGCAAGGATATTGTTCATCGCACTTGTACTTCTTAGATCTACACCTCTCGCAGGCCTGGGCTGCGCGGGGTCGCTTTGCCCGGGGCAGAGGGAGATTCTCATCCCCGGCAGCCGGTGGTGCGGGAGATGGGCGAGCCTCAGGTTGCATCATCCATCTAGGTTGCGCACGGCATTGGGGGCTGACGGAGAGCGAGAAAATCAACGTGGAGGAAATGAAGTTGTGGTGATCAGATAGTGTCCGTTAAAAATCAAGGGTAAGCAGGGGAGATATGCAAAGGCAAGTAAGTGTGCGCAGAGTTGGCAGTGAATGAAGTGTGACGCGGATGATTTGATTAGTTAGTGGCGGATTGTTGGTTGAAGTGGAATCTGGCCAAAAACTCAGAAATGCGCCGGCTTTTCCGGCCATCACGTGGCCCCTTCGCCCCCGCGGGGTCCCCGCATCGCTCGGTTTTAATCTACCGACACGTGCCGCTTGATTTAGGCCAAAGAAAGAGTTATTGTAAGGATTTCATATATCTTAGTGGTAGTTCACATGATTATGTACAGCAAATGATCTAATCCGAAAAACGCCAAGTCCAATGCAGCATGCGGAAAGTTGAGTGCGTACGCGTCTCATCCGCCCCACTACAGAACACACAGGCGTTCTCACAGTGTAATTTCCATGTTCAGGTCAGCCACCACCGACTTGACGTCCGCCGCGTCCCATTCGCGCACCTCGTCTGGTAGCACCGCGCCTTCATATTTTTGGCCGACCCGGTGGATCAATGTCTCGATACCGTCGCCATCCGTGAACGACCAGACACGCACGAAGCGACTGGCAAACTTCAACGCGAATGCCTGTCCAGCAGGAATCACGGCCGTCTCCCCTTCGCGGAACTCGGTGTCGGACTGCCCCTCGAGGCTGACGATCAGCGTGCCCTCCTGCACGCACAGACAGTGATCCACCGATTTGAAGGTCATGTACTTGGACAAAATGGTATCACCGTAGACTTTCGAGGATTCGATACTGGAGATAGCACAGACCCCGCTGCTCTGAGCGGTGGTGACGAACGGCCGGGACATCACCCCGCCAAACATCCATTTCGGCCCCGTGTTGGCCCGAAGGAAGTAGCCCTGGGGGCTTTCAGGCAGGACCTCCTCATCCTTCGTCCATTCTCCGAGCTCCGGAGGCTGGTAGTGGGGCTGGAATACCACGTCGAATTGTTCCTTCGCAGCCATCACCTTCGGGATCAGGATGGACTTGAGATCGCGGTCGTCGTGCTCCGGCACCAGCACTCCGTCGTAGCGCTCGGAAACATATCGGAAGAAGTCGACCCAGTCGCCGGGTGTGACCACTCCGTAGGTCTCGGTGTGTGGACCCATCATCTCTGGGTTATGAATCACGGTCTAGAACATATGAGTCAGTTGCGGATCGTAGATAGGAGAATGTTTTGAGAAGCCAAGGCGGCCTGCCGTGCAACGTACAGGAGGCACATAAGCGAAGTCTCCGGGCCCCATGATGCGGCACTTGTCGCCATTCCATAGCTTCAGGAACCCCTTGGTCACCAAGAAGACATCATGTGCATGGTTATGGTAGTGGAATCCAGGTGCATCCGAGAGAACAGCGCCACTCTGGAAGACCGACATCAAGCCATTGGTTTGCAGCGACGAGGCCAGAATGCGAAAGGAGCCCTTGCTGCCGGGAATGGTGATGCGCTCGCCTTCCAGCTGGGGAATTGCATAAGGAACCCTTCCCTTGGGGGGCTCATTGGTCCAGGATAGGGACATGATAATTCGTATGCGCGTGGATGGAACAGGAGTGGGAGAGGGTCGGCCTGTGGAAAAGCTCAATGAAAGAAAGGGCGTGGCGAGAGAGGTGTAAAAAAAGTTTTGTTGAGGGGTGACTGAAAGTTTCGCCGTGGGTGCCTCAGATATAAGGACGGCGGAGGGCGCGTCATCGGGAAGACTGTGGGGGCATTTGGGGCAAGTTTTCTCCATTCCCCCATACTACGAACTTTGAGCTACCCCTCGGATTTTCCGTGCAACTTGGGATGACCGGCTTTTCCGGTCGCTCTCCTCCTTCCCCGCAGTCAGATGACCTGAGAGAGTGCCCCTCCGGGGTATGATTGTCCCGCAAATCTTACGAGTTGGTAGAGCGAGTGCCGAGGTTGGTGTTGCGGGCAAGCCGGACGGAATATCTCGCAATTTGCTCTGCTCACTTCATTCAAGCCACGCCAACACAAGCTGTTCCGCATGAACAATCAAGATTCGTACTTTGCATCGAGTTCTCAATCGCGCAATATCATTGAAGCCTCCATCTGCATGCAAACAGTGAACACGAGACAGCTCAAGCAAAGAATGCGAAAAGCGTGGAGCAGAGCCCACAGAGTGAAGAGAATATAGGTGAAAAACGCCCCATGAAAAATCACAGGCTTTCCGCCGGGTATATATCACTGGGTTTGTGACTCCATATCCCAAAAGGAAAAAGCTAATGGAAATAAGCCCGAAAAAATGGCGAAAGAACCAAGTGCAACATGAAGACCTCAGCGCACAAAGAGAAGCGAAGACAAAAAGGGCAGCCAGCACCCCAGAATTTCAGCATCCTTTTTCTTTCGGCAGTTTGATCATAGGCCACGGGGCGTATTTGTTTTGGTTTCGATCCTCCCTCCTCCTGGGCCATCATCTCCATCTCCGAAGCGCCTCCAGGATCTGATCTGCCTAGCATCGTTTTGCGATGATACGGAGGTAGACGAGCTTCGGCTCAGGGACGCTGGGCTGGCAGGAGTAGATGACCCTGGGGTGGTCATCGACACTGTAGTGGCGCCGGTAGCGCTTCGAGATGCGGACACAGCAGCTGCTGGGTTACAATGAGTGCAGACGTATAGAACGAACCCATGGCCACTGCAGCTGTTGCAGATTGAACCTCTGTCGGCTGCGTTAGTGGCGACGACAAAAAAGAAAAGCTTGTTTCGCTGGCGGAAAAACCGACCGTGGTGCATTCCCTGCGCAGCTGCGGCAGGTCCTCACTGTCTGTCCACCGATGCACGAGTTGTGATCGGGGTCAAGGGGATGGATTGAGCCTGCCGAGTGAGACATCGTTTCTCTGACCGACAGCAATAAGATACAACGAGCTCGAAATCAGAGGATGAGCAGTTAGAAGTCAAGGAGGATTGCCCACGGCTTAGAACACGTGCGAAGGTGTTGTGGTCAACCGAGACACTCGGTACAATGTTGTTTCAGATCTCGAAGTCGGATTTTCTTACTGAGGGGAAGCTTGATTTATCTGTCTTCCGTTAGGCATGGAACAATTCGAAACCAACTGGGGAAGAGATGCGAGAGAAAAAGCAAAAATGCCAGTCTGCAGTCAAGCCAGGCTGCTCCCTGCCCGGTGCGAATGGCAACCTCTCTATAGATGGAAATCGTAAGACCTACTCGGCCATAAATTGTGCGACCAGCTTGCGAGTCAAGGGATCTCGTATCGGCAGCACCGAATCAACTTCCAGTAATCGCTTCCGAAGTAAATTGCCAGCGTGAGCCTCCGGTCACATCTAGCGATATTCTTTTTCGGAGAGCCGCTCCAATGACATGAACGGTCAGTGCGGCCTGGTTCCAGGATCACAAAGCGTCCGCATACGCAGTCCCCAGAGACTAGCCTAGAGGGGCCAGTCGATGCCTATAAGACACGCGAGTATGCTTTTCTTCCGGTGATTCATGAAGACGACGGCCGAATGGGAGCCTTGTAGATGCCTTGGACCCGTGGGGCCGGACCCAGTACATGATCGTTGCGGCGGCCATTGATAACCGGCCCAGCTGCCTACATGTGAGGCTTGCTCGTGCGTATCAGAGAATGCTGATCGCTTCGTCTATCTTGGTACGGTATGGAGGGGGAGGGGGAGACGGATCGAACCGACAAAGAGAAGCAAATGAAATTAGGAGAAGTGATAAAGCGTGCATAGTGCGGTTAAATCAGAAAGAGGAAAAAGAAAACATGGGGTGGTGGAGGTGGTGGATATTGGTGGGTGTGATAGAGACCAAATAGGACAAATAGCCGGGAACAAGACAAGAAGCATGGCAGCCACGGAGAGTTGTGCTACTTCACTGGCTCAGAATAATGAGCAATATTGGGAAGCATAACTACCCGCTTGCCCGCTTTTGATTTGAGATAGACAGAATAAAAGATAAAAAAAGATAAAGGCGGGCTTACAGTGAACTTGGAAACGGATAGGTGCAGCCCGTCTGACTGGGGCGCCATCTCATCAGTAACAGTCATTGGAGTTCAAGATGACACAAGAAAGCGATTGTAGGGGGATTCTAGCCGAGTAACTTAGCAGTGACACCGGATTACTAACCTCTGAGAACCCTGAGTGAACTCAAGGCGGCTTTTCTCCCCTCTTGGAACGGGTCCGAGGGTGTCGTACGCATGGAGCTTGCATATTCGCTAAAAGGCAAGCCAATCATTGCAGACCACTTCAATCGGCCCCCGGGTAGACTGGACACTCAAGGCCAAATCCCGTTACATGTGAGAGCTACACATTCTTCTCTCCAATGCGAAGGCTTGCTGCTTGCTGCTCGCTGCCTTAGATAATTAGTGTATGCCCACACAAGTGACCAAACAACGGATGCGGCGTTAACGGGGCGGCCATCACTCCTGCACCCCAATAGCAATCTCCGTTCACGAGAGGAAAGAATCACAATGAAGCTACACATCTATGGAAATCATGGCACAGTGGTCTTCATCGCACAAAATACAACAGCAACCCCGCAGTAGAGTTTGAGCCGCAGAGAGTTTGGCCAAGGCAATAGTTCTCTAATATAGCCGGGGTACTCGACTCGTGGCGGAGATAAATGGAACGGCATAGGGTAATGTGGCCATCAGATGATCTGATAGTACTGTACCTAGTAGGTCGCGACACGGTGGTATCTCATGTCGGGAGGTTAATTCCCTGGGCCTGCAAGTATCCGATCGCATAATGAGGCCTGGAGACTCAATCGCGAAATAACCGCTGCAATCGCTGCTCTTCTCATTAGTCAGTGCCCAAGGCACTTTTTTTCCTTACCTCCAGGCGAACTAATCCTCTTTTTCCACAAATCGTCGACCAATGACGTGTTAATTCAGCCTGGCTGGGGAGATTGCGTGTCTGCGGATTGGTCACATGTTCTGTAGCATCCTTGATCATGATATGAAACAGGACCATGTTGAGAAAAGAACGGTATGACGCAGCAAGTGACGAGCTTGTTAGATCCATGTTGTTTTAGGTCAATCTGTTCTTCCGAAGAAGGGAATCGATGAGGACGCTGGAACAACAAGTGACTTGGAGGAAGCATGGGCCAAGGGTGCGAAGAGGGAGCGCCAAAGCGCCGTAGAAATATTCACATCGGGACGATAAATTGACAGCGGTTGTCATCGATCCAGCACCGCCCATGTGGGGACCATAAGCTCAATGCTACGTAGATTTTTCATTCGAAGCGGTCCATAGGAAGAAAAGAATGTGGCTTGCATACTAGACAGCAAGCAGGGATGGTAATAGGCTTGTCTAGTAGGGAATAAATGGTCAGCGGCATGCAAGTACCCGACAGGAATCACGCGCTGGTCTTGAATCTGACTCGAACCAGGGGATCATTCATCATAGCCATTGTTATCCAGGCTGAGTCAAGGCAAGACAGTCAGTTGTAATATTTGGATGTTGCTTCATCGAAGAGGAAGCGGAAGTAGGCCAGGGAAGTGAAGCAGAATCCAGCTGACCTCGAAAGTGCTGCGGGAGTTGACGATGTTGCTGGGCCGAGAGTTGCACAAAGCGAGATTCAGCCGCTCCAGTCGGAGGAAGAAACAAATGCGCAATCAGCTGACTGTGGCCCAAGTGTTCCGACAAGCCGGACGCTAGACAACCACCCATGTCTGCAATTCCGTGCGAAGGTGATATCAAGGTCAAATAAGGGCAGCAGTGCGAGCACAAGGCAACTTGATGATCTCTCGTCTCTCAGGCTAGGAGTGAGGCATGTTTCAGCCATAATCTACATGTCTATCCAATCCATCTGGGACCAAGGGAGGAAGCCAGATCTTGGGCAAGGGGTATACGTTGCTTCTTTTATTGAGGGTATTCAGGGGCCTCATGGCTCACTGCTAGGCACCTGGCTTCGAAGAAGCACCTCGGGAGCTAGCCGTACTTGGTGGGCTCCCCAGGTTGATAGAGCTTGAATTGGATTGAATCGACGGAATTTAGTTGGCTTGACCTCGAGAGAGTCACACAGAATAGCCATCCATCATGACAAAAGAAGACTGGCTTGAATTATCTGCCGAAGCACTAGTTACATTCGGCTCACGGTAAATAGGTAGTTATGACTGTAACCTGGCGTTAATCAGTTGAAAAGCAAAGCAAAGAACAAAAAAAGAGTATGGCTCCGAGCAACAAGAAGTTCAGCCGAAAACAAGCTAGGATGACCGGATAATTCAGTATTAGTTCGAGAATGCCGACAACGCCAACACACTATAATTCGTAAACGTTAAGGAAATCATCAACCCGTTTCATTTTACCAAAATAAAAGCACCAAACCCTCCGCAGCACCTCAGAAACTACTCAGTGAGGTCCGTGACGATTGTCAGTGGTGTCTTGACCAATAACTAAACATCTGCCGGTTTTATTTCATCGTTTGAGTGTTGTTCGAATCTCAGATCATTCCTGGATAGGAAGCGTTGCAAGGGAGACAGAATACGGTAGATTGATGGCAGTGGCAAGAAGGGACAATCGTAACCCACCGAACCGAGAAGCTCATTCATGAAAGTAGTCGGGAGGAAGCGAGGCCAACGTGACAATAGTACCGAGAGCACCTATCGCAACTCCCAGGGCAGCAGTAGCAGCATGGCTGGCGAAGCCCCGGGCAGCTGACTTCTTTGCTCGTTTGAGAGGTCGTTCGGAGCTGGTAGGAACATTGAGAGTTTGAATGGCGGGTGTAGATTCATTTGCAGGGACCAGGTCTGAAAGAGGACGCGGAACAATGTCTTGCTTTTCCGATGGCTTCCTTGGCTGAGCCTCAAGTGAGCCTGTCTCGTTGTCACCACAGTCCAAGGCCTGTATTTCTCGCGATGGATTGGTCAGGGGTTCTTCAATAGCCTCTGCCTTCCTTTTCAATGGCCTAGTTTCTTGTACGTTGGAACCTGGATCTTGCGGGGGAATGGCACTCTGCGATGGCGGCAACTGTGATGTGTTTCGCTGCTCTGAGACCACGGCAGTCTTCTGGATATCTTGTTCGCTCGGCTCAACGTCCTTGCTCACTGGGAAAGCTGTGGCCGCGTTCGCGATAGCAGGTTCGGTGGTTTCGCAAGTAGTTGCAGTACTATTTGCCGCAGTAAGCTCATTGGCAAAGGGGCCATCGGAATAGGTCACCTTTGGGAGAGCTGGGACAGGAAGCGGATACACACTCCCAGGATGCCAATTGATAGGAGACGCCAGAGGATTCTGCTGGAGTCCAATGAGAGAATTATGGAGAAATCTGTTCTGTGTTTGTTGACACAACAGGGGTAACGGCAGCATATTTGGTGGCTGTGGCGCTTGGATAGGAAAGATTTCGCTTGGTTTTACATTGTGAGGGATTGATTCTGAGGAATTGCGCTCAACGACAGGCAAGTCGGACGGGATGGCCTTGGGTAAAATGGGTGACACCTCATTGCCCTTTTCGTCATCGAAGCGGGGCTCGGCAACCCCAGAATTCAGTCGATGAGCTGCTTCCTCGAAGTCGAAGGAGGGATCGGACGCTATCAGATCACGAATACCGAGGACCTGAGAAGTCTTCATAGTCTTATAATCGTCAAAGACGCATGAGTCTTCTTCCATGTCGGAGTCCAAAGAGCACTGCGAATGTATCTCCTCTTCGTCGCCGTAGGAAACATCATCATCATCATCATCATCGTCCTCCTCCCAGTCCGAACTCCCTTCAGGAGAGGATTCTAGGGAGGACTCGAGACCAGTTTCTTCCACAAAGACATCCAGATGAGCAACTCCCTCACTAGGCTCCTCATCGAGGGTACTTATCGCCGGTGGTGGGGTCATCCGCGGAGTCACCAAAGGCTGTTCAGCTGGATCACAGTCGAGGTTAATGGGACTATCTTGGGATCCGTGGTGAGCAGCACAGTCACTGTTATTAAGCATGTTGACAGATGAATAAAGCGTAATGTTCGGTGAATCCTTTTTCAAAGGTGAGGTAAAGGGTGATGAGACCTCCACAACCGACTGATTATCAAAGTCAGAGCGGAATACAGAGTCTTCGTCATCAGAGCTTGCAGCCGGACATACCACCGGAGCATTATCAGTTTCGACGTTATTGTCATCGTCATCATCAGGTACACAGAACGTATTCGTGGGTGTAGGCTTATGAAGCCAGTCAAGTTCACAACGTACTTGAACCGGTGGGAACGTATCTAGATGCCGACTATGAGTTAGTTGCGCCAAATGAAAGTGTCAAAGCAGTTTGTTGACCTGTGCGAGGCCACTCACCTTTACCACGAATCACTTCTGTGCCAAATGTGATAAGATCCCCTTGACTGAGTGGGTGTTCCTCCTCGCTGGCGAGTTTCTTTCCGTTTACGTAGGTACCGTGCATTGATCCACCATCTCGAAGATAGGCAAGCTAGTTGAATAATCATTAGCGAAGGCTGCTCAGGTGCTGATACAGATGCTCAGGAGGCGCATGCTCAAGAGACAGACACTCGAGAGAGACACTCAAGAGACGCACACTCAAGAGACACACGCTCGAGAGATGCTTGCTTTCTATACAAGATGCAACCGAACAAAGAGACACATACCTTCTTATCCAGGCGTACTATCAGTTGAGCATGGTTTCTTGACATAACTCGAGAATCGAATAGCCCATTATCCTTGCAGGGAACGAGGTTCTTGGACTCCCGCTTTGACGCTCGGCCGATACAAACATCGGTAGTATCAGGTGTAAACTTGAGAGATCGGCATGGGAACTCATCAATCGGAGTTAGCGGACGAAGGTTAACAACAACAGCTATGATACCGATAAGTCAGCCATGAAGTTCTTGTTTCTGAGGTGTTCCGGAACTCGTTGAGATCTGAGCTCGGCGAGGTAACGGAAGGTGGATTGCGTGGGCTTGACTAACGTGCCGGGGAAGGAGTAAGCCAGTCCAGGTAAACACATACCTTCTGAGACGAGCATGATGTCAGTTTTCTAGAGCCGATCGCTCTGAGCGCTATCGATCATTCAGCCAAGATAAATGTAGTCCTAGTGGCTGTGTTACGATCCGGTTACGAGAGAGGAGGAGGAGGAGGAGGAGGATGAAGCAAAGATGAGTTGGAAGACGGGAGACTCGAGCAGGTTGAAGAGGGGCAGCAGCAGGCCACCACCTACCCGATGTAATCAGCAGCCCGAGGACAGTCAAAAGGCGGTCGCCGTCAAGGAAGGAAATATGGATCTGACACAACTGGATGATCGGGCTGAAACAATGAAGTACACACCAAGCTTCAAGGAAGTGTAGGCGGCGAGCTTGGTGGAATCCGAGAATACTGATGTAGTTCGTTGGATGAGGTAGGGAAGGGGGAAACCGAGGAGGGAGGGGAGGGGGGTGGAGAGGGGAAGGAGAGCAATGAAGGCAAAGGAAAGAGAAGCCCAGACAGCTGGTACAGGACTAACAATGAAAGATCAAAGCAGTCCGGTATTTGACGGACCGGAATTCCAGTACCAGCAGTTTAGAAACAAGTGGTGAACCAGCACAGCATCGAAGTACTCAGTAGTACTGTATTGAACAACGACGACGATAAGTTGAATGGATAATGACGGGAGAGATGGAGAGGGGCGATCACTGATAGGCGGATAAGTGGGGGCGTCCCGTCAGGTGGACGAAAGAACAGTCATAGTGAGGGACTAGTGAGGGAATTCCGGGGCTTATCTGGGAGTCGGGACCACCTCACAACATCTTAAGGGGGCCACGCACTTCCGGTACGGCCGTGTTCCTTACCCAAACCTCAACGTCCTATCAACAATTTACACAATCTCAAGTAAGTACGAACTCCCTTGTATAAGGATATATTTCTAATTATTTTTTGTCATATAATCAAGCAAGGCCTTATACAGCACCGTTCGGAGCATGCACGCGAGCAAGCGAGCAAGCGAGTGAAGCCTCACGCAGCACCTTTACGAGCACGCAACCGAGCGAGGTGTATACGGCACCTCTGCAAGCAAATACGCAAGCAATTGAGTGAGCAAGCAAGAGTATATGCAGTGTCTCTACGATTATGCGACTGAGCGAGGTCTTATACGGTATCTTACAAGCATACAAGTAAGGCCTTGTACAGCACCTCTCAGAGGAAACACACCTGTAAGCGAGCGATGAAGGCCTCACGCAACACCCCTACGAGCACTCGACCGAGCCAGGCCCTACCCAGCACCTCTCAAACCAAGCGCGCGACTGAGTAAGGCCTGCCTTACACAGCGCCTCTGCAAACCACTAAGTAAAAAAGGCCTTATGTTTGAAGTACAAGGCTCTGCTGAAGAATCTTCTTACATTGGGAATCACATCAGGAATTATTATAGTTTTCAGCGGCCGAAGGTATTGCTACTTACTTGTATTATAGTTGTGTTCAATCATGAGTAGTCATGATTATTGATCTCGGATCTGCTAAGTCTATTTTATCGTAGGTATTATTTACTCGAAACCCTTAGGTTATTACTGAATAGAAATCATACATATAAGAGAAGTGAAGACAGTGGATTAATGACAGTGGTATAAAAACAGCAATGATAGAGAACTAAACTTAATATTAGGGTTCCTTATTAGGAAGTCTTTTCTTATTTCTCTTGTTATGATTATTAGGATCTATATCAATATCAGACTACATCAGCATGTGATTGTGCAGAAGCTAAAAGTTTCATAAGGCATTATAAGGCATACCGCCTACTATACAAGGGTTGGATCCGGTAGGTTTAGAATTACAACCGGTGTCATTAGCAATTATCGGCCCCTTCTACGAACTATCTTGTATACCAAAATAATCCCTTCGACCTCCTACGAATCACACGACGATAACAAGAATACTCATAACAAGTGACATCCTTCGTCCTTTTCTTCATCACCTTCTTCTTCCTGCTGCTGCTCCTGCCTCTTGCACAGTACTATTATACATTGTCGTACACTTCTCATCCACCTCCCTTACGACAGTCGTCCAGCCGCAGTATCGACACGCAGCCATACCAGTTATACCCCCCCTCCCGCCACTGCAGAACGTTTCAAAGCACGGCATCTTTCAGGCCATTCTTTCTTGACATAAGAGCCCGGTGCGCAACCAGACATGCATAGGGAATAGGAAACCCGCCTCGATACGAGGAACATCCTTTAATGACACACGATTGCAGAAGTAAGGAAAAGCAGCACCAAACAAAAGAGATCCATACACAGTATATCAGTGGGGAGAAAGATTAACACAAGTCGTAGAATAAATACACACAGTGGATGAGTGGTCCAGGCGCCCTAAAAACACCCTCAAAAAACCAGGGTAGAAGATGACACAACTAGGCACGGATATTGCCTTCAGCACTCGGTGGATCGGGAAGAGTTGATAACGACGGTGAGGGGAGGTGGAGGAGGACGATTAAGTCGAGATCATATCATAGGTCGGGTTTACAGACCGGGAGCGCCGAAGCCACCTCCGGCACTCATGCCTTGCAAACGGGCTGCAAGTTGGGGGTACTTCTCTTGCACCTCCAGCTGCGTGCGAGTGGCCTCGGCGTAGGAGATAGCGTTGATGATCTCGGCCTCCGTACGAGCGAGCTCAGCAGCGCGCTCGAAGTACTTGAGGGCTTGGGAGACCTTGCCCTGCTGCAACAGCAGCTGAGCCATGGTACCCACGGCAATGTCGCACTCGGGGTCAACTGTCATGGAGTTAGTATCGCGGTGGGCGCAGCCCATTATGGTCTACCGTGACACTTACTAATCAGGGCCTTCTGGCAGAGGTTCTCGGCCTCCTGGAAGTCATGCTTCCACTGGAACAGCGCAAGAGCCTTGTTGATGAGAGGCAGGACATTGATACCCATGGGCTTGCTCTGCTTCTCCATCTCGACGGCCTTGTCGAACTTCTCGATGGCCTCCTGGAAGTTCTGCTGGTCAAGGAGAAGTTCACCGTAGTAGTTGTAGACATCCGGAACATCCTCGAAGTTTTTCACGGATCTGCGGAAGGTGGCCATGGCGGAAGCGACAGATCCCATCTTGTACTGAGTGACACCAAGCTGGATGTGCGAGTAGATGAAGGTACGGTCGAGATCGATGGACTTCTGGTAATCCTTAGCGGCCTCGGCGAACTCACCAAGGATGAAGTGGAGCTGGGCGCGGTGGTAGTAGATATCAGGGTCGTCCTTGTTGTGGGTAATGGCTAGTTCGAAGTCATCGGCGGCAGCATCCTTGTTTCCTGTATAACGTTATTAGACATGCATATAGGGAGAGCATTGATTGTATTCACGTACCGAGTTCCAGGTGCAAGCTGGCACGCTTGATGTAGCTCTGCACCAGAGAGGGCTGCAGCTCAACACTCTTGTTGAGGTCCAGCAGCGCAGCCTGGGCATTGCCGACTAGGTAAGTGAAAGTAGCTCTCATGTTGAGGGCCAAGGCTTCGAAGTCACCGAGATCGCCAACTTCGAGGGCTTTCTCGAAGGATGTAGCAGCCTCCTCGTAGCCATCCCCAGTCTTCTTGGCCATGGCAATCAGACCCTTGCGCAGAAGGCCCTTACCAGACTCTTCGCTCAGGTCGGCGGACTCGTCGAGACCTTCCGGAAGAGGCCTGGGGCGGAAGCTCTGAAGGTAGTTGGACACGAAAGTGGGGCTAGGCAGCTTCTTGCCCTTGGCCTCGAGGATATCCTTGCCCTTCTTCTCAGCAACCTTCTTCAGGAGTCTCTCAAGGGCGACGCGGCTGATCTCGTTGGAGAAACCGTCGATAATGCAGCTGGCGGTGAAGTCGAGAAGAGCCTCGCTGTACTGCTCGAGGTGCTCATATGCGATAGCGCGGCGGTTCAGGGCCTTGACGTATTCGCTGTCCATGGCGAGAGCGGCGCTGGTGTCCTCGACGACCTTCTCCCACTCGGACAAAACGTTGTAGCAGGCAGCACGGTTGGAGTAAAAGACGGGATCGGGCTTGCAAATAATGGCCTTGCCGTACAGTTCAATGGCTCGGTTATAGTCCTTGGAGCCATATGCCTTGTTTCCAGCAGCCTTCAGCTTGGCAGCGTAGGCCTTTCTTGTCTGCAAATTTGAGGGGGATACAATCAGCAAGAGTATTCAACCACCATTTATCACAAAGGATAATCGCGCACCTCCTCGGACAACTGCTCAACAGTAGTCTCGTCAACTTCAGGAATCTCATCGGAAGGCTCTTCTGTCTTCTTGGCAGCCGGCTCTGGGAGGTCATCATTAGCCCGTACTTCGAGGGATCGACCGAGATCGGAGGATGCAACTGGACTGGACATACCCTCCTGGACAGAGGCCGCCTTGGCCTTCTTTTCCTCCTCGGCCTGCTTCTTCTCCTTCCGTCTCTGGCTCTTGCTCTTCTTTTTTTCTGTGGGGGCGGCAGTCGTGGTAGGGCGACCGGAATCGGAGAGGTAGTAGACGACACCCGCGCTAGTTACAACCACAGCGACACCGGCGATGGTGTAGACCAGAGCCTTGTTCTCCGACACCCATTTTGAGATGCGATCCCATACTGATGCTGAGGAAGAGGCGGGGAGGGAAGTGGTGTCGAGAACCACGTTCTTCGTTGGCTGGGGCAATGGTGATGCGCTCGACATGATGACCCGGCAGAGGAACCCGTTATCTTAGTCTGGTCTCTTTTTATCTATAATTCTAGGAAGGGGAGGTTAGCGCTGAAGACAGCGGTCATAAGAGTCAGTAGGTAGCGAGAGAGACGGACCGTCCTGGGTGCAGGGCAAGAGCTCGTCGGCAGGATGACTGCTTTGCTTCGTTGGGGAGGGGGGTGGAGATGGAAAAGAGCGAGGAGAGAGAGAGAGATGATGCGGTTTGAAAAGTTATGCGTTGCGATGTTCCGGCGACGCAGCGGGCTTCCCGAGCTCCTATGGGCCAATCACGCTCGCGGCAAGGAGATGCTCCGTCAGCTCCTGGTTCGCTCCACCACCGCATCTTCGTCATTCTCTTCTTCCTTGATCGAGCGCAAATTGGTCCCAGGAGAGCTCCTGGTCTCATCAGACACTGATTGTTCTACCTGTGCTGAACATATTTATCATCGGAGCAACACTGAAACATCCGTTCATAGCCAGACCTACTAACAGTGCAGGATCTGGCGAAAGTGGTGGACACGCGATCGATCAGATCACCCCAGGAATGCAGTCAATGGCTTCCGCCTCGCTGGAAGAGGATTTCCAAATCATATCGTCTCTGCGCTATGATCCTGCGCTTCGAAGTTTGAGCACTAAGAAAGCCGCGGACAAATGTTTTCACCCTTCCAGCACGCCATACTACCTGCTTCCTTACCATCAGGCACGGCTTCGTAATGCGGCAAAATGCTTCGGTTGGAAGGAGGCTCTGTCATTTCTACAAAAAGACCTCACCCAACTCTCTGAATACCTTGATACTTACATCTTTGACAAGACGAGACCTTGGCGCATCCGGATCGTCATTGACCGCAGCGGAGCGTGCACTGTTGAGGTCAACCCGACAGCATCGATTGACCCGTTGAACATGCTCATCCCCAATCGAGAACATACACAATCAAACCTATGGAGTATTTATGTGGATACGGGGTGTATAAATCCATCCGCGTTCACGAGGCACAAGACTACCGCTCGCGATTTCTACAATGCAGCACGGGTCAGAGCGGGGATCATGTCCCCGTTAGACCAGGCTGAGGTACTGCTTGTAAACCCCGAGGGTCAAGTTATGGAAGGGAGCATCACCACACCCTACTTCCGGCGCAGGCGACCCGTAAGTAAGGGTGAGAGCCTAGAGAGTGATACAGAGCCAGACTGGGTCACGCCTCCCCTCTCAAGTGGTGGTAATGCAGGCACAACAAGGCATTATGCGTTGGCTGAAGGGTTCTGTGCAGAGCAGATCATTGAAGTTGCTGACTTGATCGATGGCGAAGAGTGTTGGCTCAGTAACGGTGTCCGGGGCTTCATCCGTGGTAGAATTGTCTTAAACAGACCCGATGATGGGCAGTCTTAGAATCACACAATCGTCAAGAATGTTTACATATGAGCACAATAATTTGCAGATGTGAAAATTGTTCTATCCAAAGAACTGCAAATGATACCGTTTCCATGCTGCGCCATAGTGCAGCCACCAATACTTTAAGGTTCAATTCCTTCGCGAGGCCAGTATCTTGGGTAAAGGGAGGCATCATAAACAATTGAAGAGAAGAGGTAAATGGGTCACAGTGCCAGCGGCTATCGAATACAGCGTACTTAGCGTTCCGGGTATATACTGTACATTTGGGTAAAACGAGGTATTGATGCAGTCCATCATGGATGGTTCTTTGCATCCGATAAGAGTTCGTAATTGACGTCAGCTGCTGCACCAGTCGTATGAGGGCTTTGAACGTGTCTCCCAATCAACACCTGGCACCCTGATAGCGTAGAACATAGATGCAGCTTGAGACGTTCTGAGGGTGTAAGTCTCGCCATTCTCAGAGGCAAGTCTCGCCATTCTCAGAGGCAAATCGCACGGTCGCAATATGCTAGCACCGGCCGTGTGATTGGCTGGGCCAGGCGGGAGAATCAGATGATGCAACGATTGGCGGTGCGCGGGCAAATGAGTCAGCATCCCCGCATTCTAAAAGAGGCTTAGCTTAGAAGCTGACAGAAATTCTTCCCATTCCCGGAGGTTCGGGCAGTTTTGTCCGGCCACTGAGAAAGGTGATTGAGCAGAATGGAGAGCTGATCATCCCCAAAACCTTACTGACTGTGTTGGAACTTAACAAGCAGTCTCGCCCACAACCACAACGCCACCCCCAGCCCAACTCCCACAATTCACATTCCCATATATCCATCCCATCCATCAGTCGAACTTATCATATCATCTCTCAGATCAAATCCACACATCAACCCGTCCGTCCATCCCTACCTCAATCAATTCGTCTGTATGCATCAGCAGCTGCAAGAATGAAATTCTTCGAGAATGTCTCTACATACGACTACTCCTTCCCAGCCGTGTCGCTGGCTTACTTCCTCCGCTATCCTAACCCGTACTCTCGCCATGTTCTAACCACTGATGTCATTGACCGTTATGTCGACCCGGACACGAAACGCCTCCACACCATTCGTCTGCACCTCAAGAAGTCTAAGGTTCCGTCGGGGATTCTGAAGTTGCTGCCAAAGGGAATGGGCGGCTCGGACAGTTCCGGACAGAGCTACATCCTCGAAACGACCATCGTTGACGTCAATGAAGGCTGGATGAGGACTGAGTCGCGCAACATGGAGTGGACCGGGATCCTGAGTGTGGTGGAAAAGCAATTCTACCAACGTCAGCCGCTGGAGGGGGCTCTCGACCGACTTCAAGGGCTTCACCTTGACGCCAAGTTGAGCGAGCAGACAACAGTTAAGACAACGGTCACGTTCCACTCCCGATTCGGACAAGGAAAGTTACTTGGCCGGAGACAGGCAGAAGCCGGTGACCAAGTTGTCGAAGTCGAGGATGAGGCTCCCAAGAGAGGCTTCTTCACGTCGTTATCCACGGCAGGCATCCAGCGCACGATTGAGCTAATCGGATTGAATCGTACCCGGGACGCTATCCTCAAGAGTAAACAAGGCATGAATGTCGTCCTGGAACGTCTGCGCAGCGGTGGTATTGTGGGTGTCCTCGAGGGCATGCGCCAGGATCGGGAAGCCATTGTCGGGCCGGAGGGTCCGTGGAAGCGCGTTTGGCTCAGAGGTAATGGGGAAGATGATGAACATTGACTTCGAAGCGTCTGGCTGTTGGGTGAAGACGGTTCGCTTCCAAGAAACATATTTTCGACATTCCAGCGTGGAGCTATGGCGTTTGGGCTTCTATTTTTGTTACTGATATCACCAGGACACTCTCCCACATGATTATTCTTTCCTCACTTTGATTGACTACTACCGCCGAGGATCACCATCTCATATCTTCGCACCAGCATATTCGAGCACGTTTTTGGAAGGGAAAAGAACACGGAAAGCACAAGGAAAAAAGTGCTGTGTATACTAGGAAACGATTACACCAGAGACATTCTGTACAATATTGATAAACTTGTTGATAAACTTTTGAGTCATTCTTCACGAGCAGCTCCAGGTCGAGTTAACTGTACATGAGTAGTTCTAGGCATTTGACAAGGCCCCCGAGAACCGTCCACCGCACGGTTATTAACCCAGCAGCATCTGGACGCTCGTCGATCTCCAACTGGACTTTCTGACGGCGGCTTTGCGGCCTCAGTTGCCAGGCTGCTCGCCCACCGACCACCTCGGTGGTTCAGCTAGTTCTGCAGATAAGTTAGCCTCACGTAGCAGAATCCGAGCATATTCCACCCCTCTCGCAGGTGTCATCAGGTCGTAGGCCCTCGCTCTTCGTGAGCATTTTTCATCAAAAACATATCATTCCCGTCAATCCTCCTGAAAATTTTCCTCTACAATCTGTTTTAAAGCTTTATATCAAGCCTCTGGGGCGGCGATACGGCTATACAGACTCAACCTCACCGTCGCCCACCCCCACCACCACGTTATCAATTTCCTCAACGCCGCCGTAACGAGGTCCTTATACTTTGCACCTATCTTTGCAAGCAAAGCAGATCATTTTGTCTACGGGTCTTTTCCACATTACTTCTACAGTACGACATTACATTTATCAACGATATGACGATTCCTCGACTGTTTCAACCTCCTTTACACGGTTAAGGTGATGAATAAAAGGCAATTAGCCGAGGTATAGGCGGTTCCTGAACCTCAATACAAGTCAGACTTCCTACCAGACACCTTGCTTAATTCTTACTACTATGGCTTTTTATACTCTTTCCCCTTATAGCAAGTCGTTGTACGTACTTTGGCTTTATCTCGAGAGTGTGACGGCAGCCCTGCGGCCTCAGTTGCGAGGCTGCTTGCTTACCGTCCACCTCGGTGGTTCTTAGCTAGTTCCGCAGATAGCCTCACGTAGCAGAATCCAAGCATCTTCCACCTCTCTCGCAGGCGTCATCACTTTCCACCCCCCATTCGAAGGGTGAGCGAGAATTGTTATTGAAGCTGACCTAGTACTCAATCCAGCTCGCGTCACTGACCCGAGCACATCGTGGTATGCTGTGATGATTATGAAGCATGAACCGACCGCCAAACCCTCGAGTCAATCCAGCCTCGATCAGCTGTACTTCCCACTCCCTACTTCCCTATGTAGGCTATCTGACAGGATTCAGGTTCCTCTAGAGTGAATGATCGGCTAGATCAGTATCATAACATTCTCTTGCCTGAGTGATGTAATGCTCTATCAGATTGTATGCTTTTATCTGTATTATCTCTGAGGCCCCCTGACAATGCAGATACAACTTATAGGAAAGGCAATATCACTTCTTAATCTAGCTGTAGATTTAGTATTCCTACAGCTGAGTATATTTACCCAGGGAAAAAAAAAAGGTATACTGCTGGGCGCAGTACGACTCAGGCCTTACAGAGAAGCCTAGGATAAGAATCCTTGTATACTACAAATACACATAGTCGAGATCTTCAGCCCGGGAAACAGTCCTACATCTAGGGGATCGTGATAGGATTCAGGATCCTTTAGCGCGAGCAATCGGTTAGATCAGTGTCTTGATATCCTTCTGGCCGAGCGGTGCAACGCTCCCATCACCATCGAACCTAGCAACAGCAGCCTAATTCTCAATCGGAGCCCGGAGTATAGCAGCGGACTGCCCAACGTGAAGCATAACCACTCGTGTAACATACAGCCCACCTCAGTATAAACTGCCCCCCTCCCCTCAGCTTTACCACAAGAACATGGTCCTTTCACCAAGACCCAAATCCACATCAATAACCTACAACGCAGAGCCCACTGTCCCCAACAATCGACAACCTAACCGGCAGCTGGACCCTAGCAAGTGCCCAATTCCCCTTTCCTCCCACCTCCTAACCAGATATCTGCCCTTGAAACTAACCAACTAACCCCCCGGAACCCTTCACGGAGAGCACGGGGGGAGTAACCGAATCACCAGGACAAATCCCTCTCCAGCGATCTAGACCCAGTCCTCAAACTAGTACGCGCATCCTCTGATTCAACCACCCCAAAGCAAAGGGCCACAACCCTGACCCCACGGGGTAAAAAAAGCAAGGCATCCCCTGGCTCCTCCGCAAGACCATCCTCTACACCCCGCTCACCATCCAAATCACCCACACCACTACCGCAAACAACGCAGACGGTAGCAAAACACTCCACCTCACCGCCCGCCAAACCAGCATCAAAGCCGCCAACCCGCCACCGGATATCCGGCACTTCGACTGGGAGGTCTACTCGCAGGAGAATTTTTTGTTCGGGCGGATTGTGTGTCGGAATCGGTATGTCAGGGGGGATTCCTCGGTACCTACCCTAACGGAGGCAGGGAGGAGTGGTGATGGTGATGATTGGGTGGTTAGGCCTGCAGTGATGGTGCAGAGTATGCTAAAAGGTGATGGGGATGAGGCGGTCGTGAGGAGGTTCTTGCGGGGGGAGGTAGAGGTTGATGGATGCACGCGCTCGGGGGGATTTCTTGCGGAGGAGCCTGTGGTTAGGGGGTTGTTTGGGGAGGATGAAGGGGAAGAAGGTCAGGGCGACGGGGGGATGGGGATCTGGGGGCATGTTATTGATCGGAAGAAGGGTGGGGGGTGGTGCTCTGAGCAGGTATGTTTGATTTTATGTTCCCTTATCTCTGGGGATACAGCTCTGCGTTGTGGAAGACGATGGGGCTAGGGACTCAGGGCTAAGATTTGTGGGGTATAGGTTTGGGGATTTGAGATGATACATGGCGAGAGGTTGTATACCCGCCGGGCTGTGGTGACTGACAATACTGGGGGGTACAGGCTAGCGCGATTAGTTTATAGGCTAGTTGAGAGCTGAGTGCTTTACATATAAAGCATATAGACTCAGGTCTTATGGTTAAAGGTGGTGGTAGGTGAGGTTGTAATGGTGGTGCTGGTTGTGGCTGCACTGACTGTCGGCGCTCCCGGCGTCTGGGGAGTATTGTCTTGAGATCGAGATGTAGGAAGTGTATACAAGGCGAGAATTACAACGTCGCCCTCTTCTAAGCCTGAGATGCTCGATTAGATGAATCCAGCTTGTGATGTTTCTCTTGCAAGAATTGCCATTGACACGTGACCGTGTTGAGCTAGGGGGCACAGAATGCCTGCCTATATTGTGACGCCAAAGTAGTTTATTATTTACTTGACTGAACCAAAGGAAGCAACTTGGTGCCTACAGGCAGCCATTCATGAAACTGTCACCGAGGCCTCAGTTGATAACATTACGAAGCACCTTCCGATCAGCTCTGTCTGCTGTCGTTACCAAATTCTCTCTAGCCAAGGGATACCGAGACGATACCTAGAGCATCAGCTGCATATTCCCAAGGAACAAACCAACGAATCGACTACTAGTTGGGAGGTGAAAGCAACCATCTTTTTTCACAATGGATTCAGCGCAGCTCTCGCAATTGAGCCGAAACCTGAGATCTCTAGCTATACCCACTGCGACCGATAATCTCGAAGAGACGTTGAAGAAGCTGCAAGACCTCGCCGAAGTGGTCACGCAGGGCAATAGTCTAGCATTATTTACTGGGCTGAAGCTTGTCGCGCTACCTACCCGAGATCCGGAAACCCTGGCCAAGGAACAGATGTCGCCCAACGAGATTCTCCTCTATGAGGCATGGAAGGCAAGGAAAACAAATCCCAACGTCGAAGGAAGCCTGCTTCCGAGCTTCGATTGGATCGCGAATGTGGCGCCGGTCCCTCAAGGCGCGCATAGTCTAAAGAAGCTCACGAAGCGGGCGGCGGCCATGGATGTGGTCTTCGATCATCAGGGCGCTACACCGGAGAACGCAGCATGGCTGACCTCGCGTATGCCGGAAACATTGCCCGTGGTGAAGGCGGTAGTCAGGATCTCCAATTGCAAGCAAATGCTCGAGCAGCAGAGCCAGGCGCACTTTCGCGGACTGACCGACATGGAGGCCGCGGAGGTTGAGACCATCCGCAAGATTGTGGCCGTGGCAGAGGCCAACACAAACCGCGAGCTGGAAAGGATGCGCCGATTGGCTCGGTCGATCAAAGAGTCTGCGTCGATCATCAAGTCCCGCGCAGAGGCTCTGCAGAAATCTCAAGACCCTGTCTCAGCTTTACATGGGGACAACTGAATGGGTCTCTTACCCAATTGTCATGATGAATCATGGAATTAGAGGAGAGGAGCAGACGCGGGTGGTCGGGAGAGTTTTGATAAGGGCTTGATAAGGTGAAAGGGAGAACCATCGATAGAAATGAATGGATGGACACGTCAAATCGAGACTCGTACTCCCTAAGTAGCTATCATCAAGGGAATGGCAAGAATCAGTGCAATACATATTGAATCTACAGGACGATACACATCCAATGCCCGCGAATCGATGTTTTGGCCAATGACGCAAGGTTCAAACCACTTATACAGAGTCGACCAACCCCAAGCCTCGCGTTGTTCAGATTGAGGCAGGTGTGGACATCATCGGATATTAATCTGGGTCTAATCTGTCTGAATCCGCATAGCCAAGACCCGGAATAGGAAAAGAACCAGAAAGCCGAGCCTTTTGGGGAAAAGGGACCCTGTCGGTCAGCACTCAAGAGAATCTCCTTTCCTTCCAGTATTCTCTTTCCATTCCTTCGACTTCCGGTATTTCCAGCTGTGCTCCATCTTCGACCGCTAGGCAGCAACCCGACATTCTTTGTGTAGCCGTGCACCTCCTTGGGAA